GCTACATCATCTGACTTCTTGAAATTATTGTAATTATATGAAGAATAAATACTGTTAATGAAAGCCATTTAAATGGGTCAGTAATATTAAACATTGCAATTATTAAGCAGACAGAGTCCAAGAAGCTTGATACGAATTAATTCATTTAATCTTGACAAATAACCCTATGAGATGTCCCCATTGTTATAATCCCCATTTGACAGGTTGACATGGAAGTTATTTGCTCAAGGTCACAGCTGGGTGATGGTAGAGCTTTGAACATGGCAGTTTGATTCCAGCTTGCTCTTAAACACAATACATGGAGGGTTGCCTTTCTTTGTAGGTAGAAATGGTGACATACTACCTGGTTTAAAAAGAAACTATGCCAGGTCCGGTGGCTCACGCCTATAATCCCCAGCACTTTGGGAGGCCAAGGCGGGTGGATCACTTGAGGTCAGGAATTCGATAGCAGCCAGGCCAACATGGGGAAACCCTGTCTCTACTAAAAGTACAAAAATTAGCTGGGCATGGTGGCATGCACCTGTAATCCCAGCTACTGAGGTGACTGAGGCAGGAGAATCGCTTGAACCCTGGAGGCAGAGGTTTCAGTGAGCCGAGATCATGCCATTGCACTCCAGCTTGGGTGACAAAGCAAGACTCCATCACACACACAAAGAAAGAAACTAAAAATTGATCAGCTCACCAAAGAGCAAATCCGGTGCCCTTCCTCCCAAACAAGAATGACTGGATGGTTAAATTCATAGGTAGTCAGGGAAATAAAATTTTTTTAAATAAAAATGGTTGGTCGGGTGCAGTGCCTCACGCCTGTAATCCCAGCACTTTGGGAGGCAGAGGCAGGTGGATCGCCTGAGGTCAGGAGTTTGAGACTAGTCCGACCAACATAGTGAAACCTCGTCTCTACTAAAAATACAAAAAATTAGCTGGGCGTGTTAGTGGGCATAAATAAAATTAAAATGGTTATGAGATACCACTTGACACCCATCAGACTGACAAAAAATTAAAACTATTGATAACTTGTGGCAGAGATGAAGAATAGCTATTAAAATTTAAAGTATGTATGCATATAACATGCCAACCCAGCAGTCCCATTTTGGGGATTCTGTTTCATGGAAATAAAAGCACTGTTGAATATATAAAGATATTTATTGCAGTCTTTGTATTGCCAAATTTTTAAAAATCCCAGAAAACAAATGAAAACCTCTTATTACAGGTATCCTCTGGAATATGATGCAGCCTCTGAAACTCATGAGTTTGAATTATGCCAGATGACTTGGAGGGACCTCATAAGGTTCTATTGAAAGAGAAATGCAGGGTGCGGCAGTATGTATCATATGATCCCACTGTCATGCTCATTAAAAGCAGTGGCCCTGGCTGGGCATGGTGGCTCACGCTTGTAATCCCAGAACTTTGGGAGGCCGAGGTGGGCGGATCACCTGAGATTCAGGAGTTTGAGACCAGCCTGGCCAACATGGTGAAACCCTGTCTCTACTGAAAATACAAAAATTAACCAGGCATGGTGGTGCATGCCTGTAATCCCATCTACTTGGGAGGCTGAGGCAGGAGAATCGCTTGAACCCGTGAAGCAGGGGTTGCAGTGAGGCAAGACTGCACCAAAAGAAAACCTGTGCATGAACAGGAATTTTAACTGTTTGTATATATATAGACTTCACCTATTTAAGGTATACAACTGTGTGTGTGTGTGTGTGTGTGTGTGTGTGTGTGTATGTGTGTATAATCTGGTTTTAGTAACACATAGGAAAAAATGTGGAAAAAATGTGTATATGAGGTTGTTACATGGACTGTGTTTGTGGGATTGGTGAGGGGAGGAGGGAACCAAGTGAAAGAAGGAAGAAAGACAACTGAAAAAGATACATCTGTCTGATTATGGTTATGTATTTCTGCAGTGCTCTGTGTGGGTGCACATATAGCTAAATAATGTTTTTCAGAGATTGGAAAGCAACAATGGTTAAAATGATCATATCTGAAACCATAGGTTTGGCTTGGACCAATCTCCCCACTGACCTCCTGTGGTCTGTCTTTGCCTGTGTTTGTTTAGCTTCCAGAATGGATCAGGGCAGCTTCTTGTTCCCTCCTCCATTGCCATACTTAAAGTAAAGGAAAGACTCCGGAGCTCCAAAGAGATGGACCTGTGTAGGTGGTTTCCAAGCATGAATGACTCAAAGACAAAACCACTGGGTCATCCCTATTAGAAGGGACAGCAGAACAGAAGTGGCAGAGTATCTGCCAATCTGTGGTCATTTCAATTTTTATGAATCACATCAAAATGGAACCACCTACATATTCGTCCAACACAAAGAATTGGCTTTTATAGACTTAACATGAGAAGCAAGTCAAAAAGTAAATATTCTTATTGCTGAGTAAAGTAACACCCTAATTTTACATGGTTGGTATATGTGTGCTTCTGAGTGTGGGAATCCCCTGAAACACTCAGACTGCTTCTCTGTAGTTGAATGAGGAGGACAGACAACATAGCTTTGGGTGAGGATAAACTAATGTACTCTAACAGTTAAGCACAGTCTAAAGAATAAGAGAGATGACTTTCAGTTAACAGGACAGGGATATTTCATAATCCAAACCACACTTGGCACCATGTGTGAGCGATCACTGCTGTGTCACTGGAAGGTTGTTTGTTTTAATAGGCACATGGTTGGCAGGCACACCATGAATGGATTGAGTTTCTTACTCTGGGTCTCCTGTTTCCCTGTCCCTGGCTTACTAAGCAGGCGTCAGAACAGATAAAGATGCTTATGTTGTTGTTGTTTTTGAGACGGAGTCACACTCTGTCACCCAGGCTGGAGTGCAGTGGTACAATCTTGGCTCACTGCAACCTCTGCCTCCTGGGTTCACGTGATTCTCATGTCTCAGCCTCCCGAGTAGCTGGGATTACAGGCGTATGCCACCATGCCCAGCTTATTTTTGTATTTTTAGTAGAGACAGAGTTTCACTATGTTGGCCAGGCTGGTCTCAAACTCCTGTCCTCAAGTGATCCACCCGCCTCAGCCTCCCAGACTGCTGGGATTACAGGCGTGAGCCACCGCGCCAGGCCAAGATGCTTATGTTATATGTTATTGGTGAATAGTGATTTTTGAAAAGAGCACCATTAGTCTACTATTGGAATAAGATTTGTACTTGGACTCAGCCATTCCTAGGCTTCAGTTCTGGTTTACTTTAAATCAGTGATTCACAGTTGTTAGCTGTAGAACCATGTCAATTCATTGAATGCTGTTGCCCCTGCGGGTAATATCAGTTGAGTTTTAGATGCTTTGGTAGAGGGCGTAGATTTGTTAGGGGAGAAAATCAAATATTTAATTTCTTAGGTGGGAACATGTGAAACCATGCCAGTGTTTTTTACCTAATATCAGCAGTATCGTTATGAAAGTACCCAGTGGAGTGTTTTCATGAGCTCTCTTATAAATAATATGGTACCCTTTTGAGTAATGTAAATTTTTTTAAGCTTACAAGGTTCTGATTATTATGATACATTTTATTAGGTAACTACAAATTTTCAGGAAATGTCAACAGAGGCTTTATCATTATATGACTCTTTGATTTCTAGGCAGAGTTTATTGGGACTGCCTTTTAAAAAGTTAATAGCTTTATTTACTAACCATACAATTCACCTATTTAAGCTGTACAACTGAATGGTTTTTGGCATATTCACAGAATTGCACATTCATCACCACAATCCATTTTTGAGCATTTTCATCACCTAAAAAACCAAAAACTACTAGCAGCCACTGACTCCCAGATTCTACCTCTACTCCCAGCACAGTCCACCACTAATCTACTTTCTATCCCTATAGCTTTGCCTTTTCTGGACATTTCATACACATGGAGTCACACAATATGTAGCCTTTGGCGTCTGGCTTCTTTCACTTAGCATGATGTCTTCAAGGTCCATCCCTGTGGTAGCATGCATCAGTACTTCCTTTTTCTGCCAAATAATATTTCATTGTTTGTATAGATCACATTTCATTTATCCATGTATCGGTTAATGTGTATTTGGCTTCTTTCCACTTTATGGCTTCTATGAGCAATGCTGCTGTGAACATTTATGTATAATTTTGTGTGGCAAGGTCTGGCTTTTTAGTGACTCAGTTGCCCTTTTAAATTCCCATGATATCATAGCTAAATAGGACTTCCAGATGTCCTCTTGCTTGGCACCTTCTGTTTAGGCACATGAAGGTCTGGATTCCCCAGAGAGGGAATGTCGCTTCCCTGGCACACAGAACTAGAGAGTGGAGTAGGGTCCTGCCTCCAGGCTTCTTGCTCTCAGGTTCAGTGCTTTACCTATTGATATGGACACATGAAGGCTGAAGAAGACCTAAAGTCTGCAATATGCCACTTTGTGAAAGCCTCGCAGGCTTTTTCTGCTTGATGTTTCTTCTGTTTTACCACTTACAACAGTGTGGTCTTGTCTGAAAGCAGAAGAGCTGGAATCTTCCTTAGATATTTTCTTTTTTTTGTTTTGTTTTGAGATGGAGTCTTGCCCAGGCTGGAGTGCAGTAGTGCGATCTCTGTTCACTGCAACCTCTGCCTCCCAGGTCCAAGCGACTCCCCTGCCTCAGCCTCCCGAGTAGCTGGGATTACAGATGTGTGCCACCACATCTGGCTAATTTTTGTATTTTTAGTAGAAACGGGGTTTCACCATGCTGGCCAACCTGGTCTCGAACTCCTGACCTTGTGATCTGCCCACCTCGGCCTCCCAAAGTGCTGGGATTACAGGCGTGAGCCACCGCGCCCAGCCCTTAGAGATTTTCTAGTCGCGTATCCTTGTGATACAAGTGAGGAAACTGAGGTGCCAAGAAGGAATGTGATGTCTCACCCAAGATCACACTGTTAGTGGCAGATCAAGGACTGGAATTTCGGTCTCTCTGCTCCAGGTCCTGGTCCTCATCTCCCCTGTTAGGACAAGCATCTGTTACCCAGGGACTGCATGAAGGGTGGCACTGAGCCATTTTTTGTCTCTTCTCTGATAGAATCCCGTCACGGGGCTGCTGTCAGCCAGCCATGAGCAGAAGGATGCCTGGGTGCGGGATAACATCTACAGTATCCTGGCCGTGTGGGGCCTGGGCATGGCCTACCGCAAGAATGCGGACCGCGATGAGGACAAGGCCAAGGCCTACGAGCTGGAGCAGGTAATGGTGACTGACGGCTATATCTCAGCTGCTCAGCCACCTTGTCCTTCAACTGGAAAACCCACAGAGAGGTAGCTGTGTGCGCAGAACTGTTTGGGTACAGGCCTCGCCTCCATTTCCGCTTTAGAATATTTTGGGGAGGCACTTACATGGTCTCATCCTCACATTTGTCTTTCTGTTTGAGATTGGACATCCCCCATAAAACAATGACAGCATCCAGAATCACAGCAAATAGAAAATGAAGGTGTCCACATTTCTTTTTTTTTTGAGATGGAGTCTCACTCTTTTCCCCAGGCTGGAGTGCAGCAGTGGCTCACTGCAACCTCTGCCTCCTGGTTTCAAGTGATTCTCCTGCTTCAGCCTCCCGAGTAGCTGGGATTACAGGCACCTGCCACCACGCCCAGCTTATTTTGTATTTTTAGTAGAGACAGGGTTTTACCACATTAGCCAGGCTGGTCTCGAACTCCTGGCCTCTGGTGATCAGCCTGCCTCGGCCTCCCAAAATGCTGGAATTACAGGCATGAGCCACTGTGCTTGGCCGAATCCACATTTCTAACCCCAAAGTGTCAATTTGCGTAATTAGTTACATTTCTCCCACATGTGCTTTATCCATTTTATGCATATTTATACATGAGGTATCATCATAAACTGATATGTTTTTACAAGTCATCTCACCACGGCTTCACATTCCAAAGCATGTATTCTTCAGAGTAGTCACATTGAAAGGATATTTATCCAAACATTATTGCTGCTGCATAAAATATTTTTGAAACTTCCCTTAAAAATACCTTTCTAATTTGAGCCATTCCAGGAAAGCAATCTTATTAATTTATGGTCACCCTTTAATTTTGAACCAAATTGGTGTATCCAGTTTGGGAGCCTATATTATTCACCATGAGAAGGTGGTTTTTCTGCAGCAATGAAGTCCTTTTATTGTTGTCCAAAATCTAGAACCAAGACACCTATCTAAGATTTGCTATCACTAAGTTTGTAACAAAATAATCCATCCCTGAACACAGGCGGTATTTTCCAAGTGTTTTGAGGGGTAGCATTGAAGTAGGGAGCACTGAAATATAAAAATCATTCTCTTGGCATGAGAGCTCTTGGGATTTTTCTTTGATGATCTGACAGTCAGTGGATCATCTGGCATGGTTTCTCATTCATTAATATAGCATTATTATTGTTATTTATAATGAGAATAAGACTTGTAATTGGTTACAGTAAATCAGATTATTCAGAAACCTTGGCTGTCACTTGCATTTTGTTAGAGCTTTACTCAGTAATTCAGTGATGGTTTCGCAAATGGCCATTTGGGCAAACAGTACTTTTGGGTAGGCATGGTGGACTCAGTGTAACAAAAATACATTACCAAAAAATGTGACATAAAGCTCCAGAGTACTAGCCTTACAAAAATTGTGTTGCTAAGGTATTAGCGAGGAGTCACTGAATTTCAGAGCTGGCCGATAATATATGATCTGGCCCCTTTATGTGAGGTAAGTCACTTTGTCCAGATTTTTCTTTCTTTGTGATGGAGTGGAGAGAACATGAACCATCAGAACACTCACATAGGTTCAGGACTGGCCTTTTCAGGGGAGTTGCTGGGCAGCCCTGGCTTGCCAGCCACGGAGGTCAAGAGGTGGTTTTCCTGCAGCAAGGGCCCTGGGCCTTGTTCCTGATTCTGCTTTATCTCCACAGAACGTGGTGAAGCTGATGCGAGGTCTTCTCCAGTGCATGATGAGACAGGTAGGCAGAATGCACACGCGTGCTTGCCAAATGGGCATTCCATGTCGTTGTAATCGTGACAGTTAACATGCTTAAGACGTCTTTTACTTTTCTTCTCAAGAGGAAGAGAAATTGAAAATATTTTGCTTACTTTCTCTCTCTCTTTTTTTTTTTTTTTGAGACAGGGTCTCACACTGTCACCCAGGCTGAGTACAGTGGTGTGATCACGGCTCACTACAACCTCAAACTCCTAAGCTCAAGTGGTTCTTCCACCTCAGCCTCCCGAGTAGCTGGGACTACAGGCGTGTACCACCACACCTGGCTAATTTTTATTTTTTATTTTTTGTAGACACGACACCTCACTATGTTGCCCAGGCTGGTCTTGAACACCTAGATGCAAGTGATTCCCCTGTCCCTTGGCCTCCCAAAGTGCTGGGATTACAGGCATGAGCTACCATGCCCAGCTACTTTCTTTTTTAAGAATTATTTTCAGTAACTTTGCTATTGAACCACAGTCTCAAAGGACACTTTCTAAGAATCTATTTTGAAGAGTTACATGAGTAAAAGGAGAACATGCTTTTTTTTAAAATGGGGAAGATAACTTTTTTTAAAGGCACTTCTAGAAAGCCATACAGTACCATTTATTCCATCATGCTTATAAAAGGTATATTTTCATTGAGATGAAATGCTTGAGTTTTGAAAACTTGATATTGTTTAGTGGTATTTTCAGTGAGAGGTAAATAAAACAGTTCATTGAGCATGTACTGCATATAGAACATTATGCTAGGATCTCCACAGATTCAAAGATGAAGATGACACAGTCCCCACCCTTAGTCAGCATGAGCAAAAACATACTAGCTCTTTTCCTTTCGACATTAAGAAACAAGAAGCTGAAATTTAAACAGGTCCCTTTTCTCCCCTCTTTTTCTCCCTTTTACTTTCCCTCCATCTCTCCTTGAGTATCTACCATGTGTCACAGCTGGGGATACGTAGACAAGGACACCCCTTGGCATGACCCATCACTCCTGCAGATGAGATTCTCCCCAGGCTGGTACATTTCAGGCGAGTGGACGAGAAGAATCGCCAGCACAGCCCCTCTGTGTGGTGCCCCCTAGCAGCTGCCTTCCCTCCCTCTGGCTCCCAGAAGCGGTAGATATGAGCTCTAGATCCAGGTAGCTGGCCTTGGCCGTGACCTCTGCCAGCCATGAACCCCGGTAACTGTGCAGAGTGGGCTTGCCTTCTCCCTTAGGTGGCCAAAGTGGAGAAGTTCAAACACACTCAGAGCACCAAGGACAGCCTGCACGCCAAGTACAACACCGCCACCTGTGGCACAGTGGTGGGCGATGACCAGTGGGGCCACCTCCAGGTGGATGCCACCTCTCTCTTCCTCCTGTCCCTGGCCCAGATGACTGCCTCAGGTGAGCCGGGGTCGCTGGAGCCCATTGTGTAGGGAATGACAATCCAGAGGTGGGAGGAGGGCAGGCAGCGGTCAGGGTCTTAGACCATTTGTGCTGCGTCACTGCTTTAATAAAATACCTCAGACGAGGCCAGTTCTACAGAACCAAAATGTGTTTTCTCACAGTTCTGGAGGCTGGGAAGTCCATGACCAAGGCACTACCAGGCTCAGTTGTCTGGTAGAGGCTCCATCCTCCAAAGAGGAGGATCGCTGTGCCCTCACCTGGGGGAAGCCAGAAAGGCAAGAAAGCCAAAGGCTCCATGAAGCCTGTTTTGAAAGAGCCTATAGCTGGGCACAGTGGCTCATGCCTGTAATCCCAGCACTTTGGGAAGCTGAGGCAGGTGAATCACCTGAGGTCGGGAGTTCAAGACCAGCCTGACCAACATGGAGAAACCCCATCTCTACTAAAAATACAAAAATTAGTCAGGTGTGGTGGCGCATGCCTGTAATCCCAGCTATTCAGGAGGCTGAGGCAGGAGAATCACTTGAACCTGGGATGCAGAGGTTGCCGTGAGCCAAGATTGTGCCATTGCACTCCAGCCTGGGCAACAAGAACAAAACGCGAAACTCTGTCTGAAAAAAAAGAAAGAAAATGCCTTCATCCCACACATGATGGGAGGAGTCCTCAGGGCCTGATCTCTTAATGGCCCGCCTCTTAATATCATCACATTGGCCGCACCTCGATTTTGGAGGGGACCCATTCAGACCATAGCAATCAGTATTTTAAATCAGTTTACACAAAAGAAAAGCATGCTGTCTGTAATCCCAGTACTTTGGGAGGCCAAGGTGGGCAGATCACGAAGTCAAGAGATTGAGACCGTCCTGGCCAACATGGTGAAACACTGTCTCTACTAAAAATACAGAAAAAGTTAGCTGGGTGTGGTGGCATGTGCCTGTAGTCCCAGCTACTTGAGAGGCTGAGGCAGGAGAATTGCTTGAACCCTGGAGGCAGAGGTTACAGTGAGCCAAGATCACACCACTGCGCTCCAGCCTGGTGCCTGGCAGCAGAGTGAGACTCTGTCTCAAAAAAAAAAAAAAAAAAAGAAAGAAAAGCATGCTTCTCCATATTCTGTGCATTCTCCTCTGTGATAGGGCAGGGAGTGCAGGAACCCTGTCTGTAACCTGCAGAGAGGACAGTCAACCTCTGCCTGGGCCCCAGCAGGGTGAAGGCCGTGGAGCTGGCTGTCTTAGCTTCCCTCTGTTGGGCACACAGCCTCCTTACTGTCACTCTCTCCTAGTTCCTAGAGCTATATAGGTCAGGTCTAACTGACACTTAGCTGTCTGGAGACCATCCCCCACCTGCTCTTAGAGTGTTCTCCTCTAGGATCAGAAGCCCTGCCCTTTCAGCTCTCCTGCTCACTACCCTGGTCACCCTCTTTTAGACACACCCTCACTTTTCCAAATTATATCTGATCAACACCATTTCCACCACTTGGCAGTGTGCCCAGAGTGAGCTGAGCAGCCTGCAGCGCCTGTGCTGTGAGTAGGCTCACGGCAGCGTGCCTTGTTCCTCTTGAAGCTGGAGCCGCTGGCCTCTGTGGCAGCCTGGACCCCAGGCCTCTGTCTCCCCGACTAGGGTCTCACACCAGGTGATCCCTCTCTCCCACAATGGCATGTGCCACAGATGCTGCCCTAGGTTAGGGCACTGAGCGCCTGTTTCTTGGAGTTCTTATCACCCACCTGTCCAGTCAACTGATGTACCTGAGGCCTCCCATTCACTGCAGACTGCAAATGTGAAACTCTCAAAATGCCAAAAATCAGTAAGCAGTATTGTTATGGCTGTGTGAATAAATCACACATTTATGCAATTACTTTTTGGCTATGAAAGTTAATATGAGCTCACTGTAGATACTTTTGAAAATGTAACAGAATATAAAGAAAAAGATTCCACTGCCAACTTTCATTTTGCTGCATCTCCTCCAAGTCTTTTTTTCTGTGCATTTTTTTTACATGTTTAAGGTCACATTGTATACATAAACATAGTCTTTTTATTACATAGCATAACAAGCATTTCTCCCATGATATAACAAGCTTCTTCATAAAGATTATTTTAATGAGTTTATCAATGAATATACCATAATTAATTTAACTATTCCTTGATTCCTTCTTTATTTATTTTTATTATTATTTATTTTTATTTTCTTTTGAGACAGAGTTTCATTCTTGTTGCCCAGGCTGGAATGCAATTGTGTGATCTCAGCTCACCGCAACCTCCACCTCCTGGGTTTAAGCAATTCTCCTGCCTCAGCCTCTAAGTAGCTGGGATTATAGGCATGTGCCACTATATGTGTGTAGTTTTAGTAGAGACGAGGTTTCTCCATGTTGGTCAGGCTGGTCTCAAATTCCCAACCTCAGGTGATCCGCCCACCTCGGCCTCCCAGAGTGCTGGGATTACAGGCGTAAGCTAGCATGCCCAGCTCCCTTCTTTTATTTATTTATTTATTTATTTTTTTGAGGCAGAGTCTCGCTCTGTTGCCAGGCACCAGGCTGGAGTGCAGTGGCGTGAGCTTAGCTCACTACAACCTCCACCTCCTGGGTTCAAGCAATGCTCCTGCCTCAGCCTCCCAAGTAGCTGGGACAACGGACGTCTGCTACCACACCTAGCTAATTTTTGTAGTTTTAAGTAGAGACAGGGTTTCACCATGTTGGCCAGAATGGTCTCCATCTCTTGACCTCGTGATCCGCCTGCCTCAGCCTCCCAAAGTGCTGGGATTACAGGCGTGAGCTACTACCTGGCCCCTTTTATTTTGCTATTATAACTAATGTTGCAATACCAACCTTGACCCCATCTTTATTTAATTCCTTCTGAGAGTTAGATATCACTTAAAGGTAACTCACATATTGCCAAATTGTTTTCAGTTTCTAGCTAAACTTAGTTCAGATTCAACTTCTAATCTGGCTTATTAGTTAAGCTTCCCTCATTGATGTAAGTGTCCATTTTCTATTACATCCATAGCAGCTTCCAGAATTCATACATTAAAAATACCTGTATTTGTTGTAGCTGACTGTATTTTTACGCAGGGTTAAAGGCCAGCTCCTGGAGCTGGCGACTGCTTTCCTTGTCTCCCACTGGGAAAAGTATTTGCCCTTCTCTTTGGCCCACTCAAAGATAGGATCAGTGTCTCTGGTTCTTCTGGGCTAAAATCCTTGCTTTGTTAGACCCTTCTCTGCACCAATCCAACCTGTACCAGAGGTCCCAAACCTCTCTCAGCCCTTTCTACTCAGGCACACACAGGAAAGTGGAGCCCTCCCTCTCTCCTTCCTCCCTTCCTCCCTTTCTCCCTTTCTCCCTTTCTCCCTTCCTTCCTTCCTTCCCTCCCTCCCTCCCTTTCTCCTTCCTTCCCTGCCTCCCTCCTTCCCTCCCTCCTTCTCTTCTTCCTTTTTCTGAGATTAGACATTAATGGTTATGACTTACTTCAGAGATGCCTTTGGAAGAAAAATGAAAATGAAGTTAAAAGGGTTTATTTCCTAGTGTGATAGTTGTAATTTGTGATGGGCAGCTTTCTGCGACATGACTTCATAACCTCATTGTTTTTCTTTGCTAGGCTTACGTATCATTTTTACCCTCGACGAGGTGGCCTTCATACAGAATCTTGTCTTTTACATAGAAGCTGCATATAAAGTTGCTGTAAGTATCAACCCTGGTAGCCTTTTCCGATGTGCCAGTCTTCGAAAAGAATAAAAATCATGCCAGGTGCGGTTGGCTCATGCCTGTAATCCCAGCACTTTGGGAGGCCAAGGCGGGCGGATCACGAGGTCAGGAGTTTGAGACCAGCCTGGCCAGCGTGGTGAAACCCTGTCTCTACTAAAAATACAAAAATTAGCCAGGCATGCTGGCGTGAGCCCGTAATCCCAGCAACTTGGGAGGCTGAGGCAGGAGAATCACTTGAGGCAGAGGCAGGAAGCTGAGAATCGCTTGAAGCAGAAGTGGGAGGCCAAGGTTGCAGTGAGCCGATATCATGCCACTGCACTCCAGCCTGGGCGACAGAGTGAGACTCTGTCTCAAAAAAAAAAAAAAGAATAAAAATCACAGTTTTTTTGAGGGCCAGGCTGTTTGCAGCTGACCAAAAGGTTAGCGAGACTAGAGCTATGAGATTGTGTCACCTCCACACACAAAGTGCGTATTTTTATCCTGGAATAGGATTGGGGGTTTCATGATTTTGAAATGTACTCTGTGCTCTGTCTGAATCCATTATGCTTGTCTTATTTCTATTTATTTATTTTGAGCCAGAGTCTGTCACCCTGGCTGGTGTACAGTGGTGTGATCTCAGCTCGCTGCAGCCTCCGCCTCCCAGGTTCAAGTGATTCTCCTGCCTCAGCCTCCCAATTAGCTGGGATTACAGGTGCCTGCCACCACGCCTGGCTAAGTTTTGTATTTTTAGTAGAAATGGGTTTTGCCATGTTGGCCAGGCTGGTCTCAAATGCCTGACCTCAGGTAATCCTCCTGCCTTGATCTCCCAAAGTGCTGGGATTATAGGCCTGAGCCACAGCTCCCGGCCCGTTATGCTTGTTTTATTTTATTTTATTTTTTACATTTTTTTTTTATTTCCATAGGTAATTGGGGAACAGGTGGTGTTTGGTTACTTTCAAGTCCTTTAGTGGTGATTTGTGAGATTTTGGTGCACTCATCACCTGGGCAGTATATACCACACCCTATTTGTAGTCTTTTATTCCTCTCCCTCTTCCCACCCTTCCCCCGAGTCCCCAAAGTCCATTGTGTCATTCCTATGCCTTTGCATCCTCATAGCTTAGCTCCGACATACCAGGGAGAACATACGATGTTTGGTTTTCCATTCCTGACTTACTTCACTTAGAATAATTTTCTCCAGTCTCATCCCGGTTGCTGCAAATGCCATTATTTCATTCTTTTCTATGGCTGAGTAGTATTCTATCATATACCTAACAGTTTCTTTATCTATTCATTGGCTGATGGGAGTTTGGGTTGGTTCCACGTTTTTGCAGTTGTGAATTATGCTGCTGTGAACATGCATGTGCAAGTATCTTTTTCACATAATGACTTCTTTTCCTCTGGGTAGATACCCAGGAGTGGGATTGCTGGATTAAATGGTAGTTCCCATTATACTTGTTTGAAATAAGACCCTAAAATGTCCTGCGGGATACATTTGTGCTGGCCTGAGTTGGGGTTGAAGAGGTAGTAGCATTAGCACCTTGGTGGGCGCTGGGGTGCCATGAGTATCACCCCAACTGGGCCACAGGTAAAGGGGCTCAAGCCAGGTAGAACCCCAACCTGGGCCAGACTTGCTGGGTATAAATGTATATAAACCCCCTTTCCTCCCAGCTTCTGTCTGGTTTGGAAGGCAAAGCCTGAGGGACCTTTACACAACAACCCCAGTGTGCAAAGCTGTCGAGGAAGGAGGGAAAGGGTAAAAGATTGTTTGTTTGTTTGTTTGTTTGTTTGTTTGTTTTAAAAAAGCCACTGTGAGGCTAGGCGTGGTGGCTCAGGCCTATAATTCCAGAACTTTGGGAGGCCAAGGCAGGCAGATCACAAAGTCAGGAGTTTGAGACCAGCCTGGCCAACATAGTGAAACCCTGTCTCTATTAAAAATACAAAACTTAGCCAGGCATGGTGGCAGGCCCCTGTAATTCCAGCTACTTGGGAGGCTGAGGCAGGAGAATCGCTTGAACCTGGAAGGTGGAGGTTGCAGTGAGCTGAGATCGTGCCATTGCACCCCAGCCTGGGTGACAGTGCAAGACTCCATCTCAAAAAAAAAAAAAAAAAAAAAAAAAAAAAAAAAAAAAACACGCCACTGTGGTCTAAAGGAAGGTCAGCAAAAGTTTTCTGTAAAGGGCCAGAGAGTAAATATTTTCGGCTCTACAGGATCTAGTGTCTCTTTCCTAGGTACTTGGCTCTGCCTTTCGAGCATAAAAGCAGCGTTAGACAGCACATAAACAAATAAGCATGGCTGTGCCCCAGATAGACTTTGCAAAAATAGGTGGCAAACTAAATTTGGTCCAAAGGCTGGAGTTCGCTGACTCCCAGTCTAAAGCAGTGATTCCCAACCAGAGGCAGTCTTCTCCTCCCAGGAGACATGTGGCGACGTCTGGAGACATTTTTGGTTGTCACATCTGGGCAGTAGATGTTACTGGCATCTAGTGGGCTGAGACTAGGACTGCTGCTAGACATCCTTCCACGCACAGGCCAGTCCCCGACGATGCAGATTACCTGGCTCGAAATGCAATACTGCTGAAGTTGACAAACCCTGGTCTGAAGGAACTTGAGAAGTCTGTGGAAAGGGTGGGCATTGAGTTGGACCTTGGAAGCTGAGCAGAGTCTAGATCAGCAGAAGGGAAGAGAAAGGGAGTTTGGGTGCAGGAATAGCTTGTGCAGTCCCAGAGGCAGGAACAGGCTCTGAGTGTGGCTGGGTGGGCTAGGGGGTGCTTGAAGAAAAGGGTACAGAGTAAAGGAGTAGACTTAGGGGGAAAGCTGACTTGGAAAAGAGTAGAAAATAAACCCAGCTTGTGGGTGTGTCCAAGAAGACCAGATCATGGGGCATATGGCCATCCAGAGAGAGAGATGTGAATATGATCCACTAGGAAATTCACCATTCATCAGTTTAGACCCTGAAGCAGGTGGAAGCAGTGATTGATGCAGTTTTTGAGGATGAATCACCCAGCACTGGGGTTGGAAGAAAGGTGGGTTGGGCCTCAGGAAGGCGCAGCTGAGAGGAGTACTCAAGGAAAGAAGTCAGTTTCAGTCACCAGGCACGCTCAGTGGGGAAGTTGCTCTAGGATGCTCGAGTCTCCATCTCCACATTTTGAAAATGTTCTGGCCGAGCACAGTGGCTCATGCCTCTAATCCCAGCACATTGGGAAGCCGAGAGTTTGAGACCAGTCAGACCAATATGGTGAAACTCCATCTCTACTAAAAATACAAAAATTAGCCAGACGTGGTGGTGTGTGCCTGTAGTCCCAGCTACTTGGGAGGCTGAGACAGGAGAATCGCTTGAACCTGGGACATGGTGGTTGCAGTGAGCCAAGATCGCGCCACTGCACTCTAGCCTAGGTGACAGAGCCAGACTCCGTCTCAAAAAATATATATATTATTTTTTGGAGATAAAAATAAAGACTGAATTGTTGGCATCAGTCCTGTTTATGTTAGGTGGTCAGCTTTCAGTAGTGCACATAGCATTGTTTCAAAACAGCATCCCATATGTGGGTTTTTCAATGAAAATATGAATGATAGGTTATGTACACACATACCAAGTCCTCTGTGTGCCAGCATTCTGAATCAGTCCCTGGTAATCGGTTTGTAAATACCACATAGGTTCGTGTTCTGTGTCTGAGTCGTGACTTTGGCTCCAGTTACTTGCTGAGCGTTTTTTCCCCCAAGAGGTAATGCTAAAAATAGGTACTAAATTATTTTCAATGCTTTTGTTGGCTTCGACTAGTTATGAGCCATGTGCTAAAGTTTCTGTATTCTATCTTACAACTTAATATAAGTTCAAAGGCATTGACTAAATAGAGAGGCAGCATTGTATTTGATTTTAAGAAGATAAAATATTTTGTTCTCCATATATCCAGAGTTTCTTACAAATGAATACCTTCTAGAAGTAAGAAATTTGAGAGTGTTGTGGCGTGCACTTTTGTCCCATTTGAGTATTTTCTTCTAAAATTCTGCACAGAGGTCGCAGGAACTGAAATTGAGGAAGAACACAGTATGAGTCTCCAGGGCCTCCGAGAAGATCCACTTATGTTTTAGTGTGCCTGCAGGAACATAAAGGAAGCATTTTTCACATAGCACTTCTCATATACCTCTCCCTCCCGTCTGATTCCTACCTTTTTCTCCCCCAGGATTATGGAATGTGGGAGCGTGGAGATAAGACTAATCAGGGCATCCCGGAGTTGAACGCAAGCTCCGTAGGAATGGCCAAGGTAACAGTCGCCCTGCTTGTTCTTCCTTCTGCACGTTTTTACTGCTTTGATTCTGTTCCCTTCATCAGGAGTTTGGATTTAATCTGATTAGCATATTTTTCAAAAGTCGATAGCAAGTATGTGAAATTCAAGTGGCACAGGTACCCCAGCCACCTGAAATTCTAGGTAAAGGGGGTAGGTTTCCAGTGCTGAAATCTGCACGTGGCAGAAAGTAAGAGTGCTCCATCCTGGTCAGCCGCTGCCATCATCCACGGGTCTAAGCTCTTGCTGTTGCTAAATAAGCTGCATGTATAATGTCCGGTCTTCCTTTCTGGGTCACAGAGAGGACTGAAGAATATCACCACTTTGTAGGTTGGGCTCACAAGTTCAAAAGTCTACAAGGTCAGGCAAGTAATGGATGCAGAGTGAAACTAGCCAGACAGCAAACTGGGGGTGGTGGAGGTATTGGGGACACTGGGAAGCTTTCCCTAAAGGTATTCCGATCCAAACTCATGTAAAATACTCTTCAAGCCAAACAAAACACACCTATAGGGCAGATTCAATTGCGCATTACCAGTTTGCTTCTCTTGCCATAGACTTATAGGGTGCCTCCTTCCTTCCCTCCTCCAGGATGAAGTATATTTTTTGGACAGGGTAGAGCCTCCAGGGCTATAATTTTTAAAGCAACAACAAACGTACTCTGTTGAGGTAAACAGACAGAAAATGTACTTATTACTAAAAGAATTAACTTTCTGGAGTGCCAGATGTTTGAAGATAACTGTTAAAACATGTGAGAGAAAAGACTCATGAATTTAGTGCACACAGTGTTATGAACTTGTTAATTCATTTTTTGGTAGAACACTAACTTCACTTTGGAAAATGTTTTTCTGTTTTCTCTTTTTTGTTTCTGTAATGAGCAGCAATTGTACAGGAGAGCTCTGATCCAGTGTAAATAAGAATAGGGTGGGGCACAGTGGCTCATGCCTGTAATCCCAGCACTTTGGGAGGCTGAGGTGGAAGGATAACCTGAGCCCAGGAGTTCAAGACCAGCCCCAGCAAAATGGCAAGACCCTGTCTCTACAAAAAAAAAAAAAAAAAAAAAAAAGACTAGAACGCGACTATAGGATTCTAGCTGGATTTTTAAAATGTGTGTCATTACCTTTGGGAAAACGTGTATACTAGATTGCTTAATGAAAAAGGAGCACCAGATATTGGAGTATATGTTTATTAGAAAGAAAAAGTAATTTATACCTGTGTTTGCAGGCAGCTCTTGAGGCAATTGATGAACTGGACCTTTTTGGAGCCCATGGAGGACGCAAGTCAGTGATTCACGTCCTGCCGGATGAGGTCGAGCACTGCCAGGTAATAGCCTCTAGCATTCCGGAGAGTAGGGAAGGAGAGTTCTGGCGTGGAAGGCCTGGGATCCAGTGCAGATTCCCCACCTTTCTAGCTTGGTGATACTTTGCTTCTTTGAGCTTCAGTTTCCTCACCTATAAAATGGGCATCCTGGGACCCTCTCCTCTGGCCTCACAAGATAGTTGTAAGAATCAGTCAGATATAGGTGAGGGGGAGGAAGGCAGCAAATCACACTGCCACATGTGTACCTATGCAACAATCTTGCATGTTCTTCACATGTACCCCAAAACCTAAAATGCAATTAAAAAAAATGAAAAAAAAAAGAATCAGTCAACTTAGTCTAAGCACTTTTTAAGCCAGAAAGTACTATGCAAATGTAAGACACCGTGATGCTGTGTAGATGGAACCAAGCAGCCTTGTTTTGCTAGAGGCAAAGTCTGTTTTTTGTGTTTTGAGCACAAAGGTGGTTTTCTTTCAGGCTTATTTCACAGTGCTCCCAAAGTGAATGACGAGCAAGCACTAGTTCACTTGGGGGTGTGGGGTTGGGGATAGGTGGAATAGGTAGTGGGGAAGAAATGAGACAGGAGAGATGGGAAATGAGTAGAACCTCTGTGAAATACAGATCAGAGAAAGGAGTGATCTAATACAGATTGGGGGATTGTATTGAGCAGAGTGCAAGTCATCAACTGCTAGACCCTCAGCAAACTCTTATTCAGTGAGGGCCCACTGGGTGCCAAGTACGTTGCCAGGGCTAAAGTGGGTCAGATACATAAAGACTTTTGAATGGACAGCTTTTGGTAGAAGTTTGTGTTTCCAGGCAGAGAAACCCTAGGGAAGAGTAAGTTACAGAACAGGGCTCCAGGCTCGGTTGGCTATAGAAAATAAAGCTTCATTCTGAAGCTGAAGGGTTCCACTCATCTTGATTCTACCTTCCAGCTCACTCAGTTTTTCCCCTTTAAGTAGTCCTGGTATTTCTTGGGGTGTAATCTAATGGAACCAAGATGGTGTATTTGTTTGTTTGTTTGTTTAAGAGGAGGTCTTACTCTGTCACCTAGGCTGGAGTGCAGTGGTGCAATCATAGCTCCCTGTAACCTCAAACTCCTGGGCTCAAGCAGTCCTCCCGCCTCAGTTTCCCAAGTAGCTAGGACTACAGGCATGTGTCACCCACACTCTCAGCTAATTTTTAAAAAATTTTTTTGTAAAGACAAAATCTCGCTCTGTTGCCCAGGCTGGTCTCCAACTCCTGGCCTCAAGTGATCTTCCCACCTCAGCCTCCCAAAGCTCTGGGGCTGCAGGCATGAGCCACTGTGCCTGGACGTGGTGTGCATCTTAATAGATGTGCAATCCAGTGGAAATGCATGAGCTTTGCAGCCAGCTGGGCCTGAGTTAGAATCCTAGTTCTGTCACTTACTAGCTGCACGCCTTAGACATGAGTCTCTATCTCAAAGTCTCAGGGTCCTCAGGTGTGAATTGGACATGGTACCCTAAATCCTTCTTCATATGAAAGACTCAATGAGCTTCTGTTTGCAGGAGTCTAGCCTCATGTCTGTACATGTTAGATCTCAGTATTAACTCCTTCCTTTCCCAAACTTTTCCTGATAATTTCAACTGCTGTCCAAGTTTCCAGTCCCCAATCTAGCCATCTTATCATTGAGGCCATATTATAGTGCCTCTAAGTAACCCTAGAAAGATTCTAGGACTAAACTAATTCTGTGGGTTACCATTTTGTCTGAGTGTTTATGAGATCTTCTGGATTTGTCTCCTCTTTTAAGTGATTTCTGGGTCACCCAGTCCAATTGGTCACATTCCACAGAAGCTAGACATTTCTCCAAGCTGGCCCCATGTATGTGTTCTTTTCTGGTCTCTGTCTTCATAACTAGACACCTTAGCCTACTGACACAGGTGGCCCTATAGTTCCTCCCCTAGGGCATGGAAAGAAGGGAGACAGGCAGGGCGAGGTGGCTCACGCCTCTAATCCCAGCACTTTGGGAGGCCAAGGTAGGCGGACCATGAGGTCAGAAGATCAAGACAATCCCAGCCAACATAGTGAAACCCTGTCTCTACTAAAATACAAAAAATTAGCGAGGCATGGTGGCACGTTCCTGTAGTCCCAGCTACTCGGGAGGCTAAGGCAGGGGAATCACTTGAACCTGGGAGGTAGAGGTTGCCATGAGCTGAGATTGTGCCACTGTACTCCAGCCTATCTACAGAGCAAGACTCTGTCTCAAAAAAAAAAAAGAAGGGAGACAAGCAGTTCTCAGTATGGGCTCCAGGCAATACCATGCTCTCACCAGTCCCTGAGGAAGATGAATAATTGCTCTGGGTATACAGGGTTGGCTAGCAGGGTCCATGTTGGTAAGACAAAGCTGTACTCAAAATTGGCAACCATGTTTGAATGTTCCCTTGGGGCTAAACTCATGGTCCCTAGACACTGTGCCTATTACTGCATCTCCAGGTTAAACTACCTCTTTGTTTTTCATTCAGTCTATTCTGTTCTCCATGCTGCCAAGAGCATCAACATCTAAAGAGATTGATGCTGGACTTCTTTCCATTATTTCCTTTCCGGCCTTTGCAGTAGAAGATGTAAACCTTGTGAATGTGACCAAAAATGAAATTATTTCTAAGCTCCAGGTAAGCATTAGTCACTGGCGCCCTTCTGTCCTGTGTGATGTGCACTTTGACATGATGGCATGGAGCGGCTCACCCATGCCTCAGTTCCCCATGAGGTTAATGGCTTGATTTATCTAAGCTGACTCATAAAGTGTTCAGAGCTGAGTCTACAGGCAAGAAAACAGTCTCGAAGTGATTTGATTTAGTGACTTGGTTCTCTCCTTGAGTCACAGAACTTGCACCCAGGAGGTACCTGTGAACCACAATTTATACCAGTACCATACTTCTAAGGCAGAGCTACTTAACCCTTTAGAGGTCACAAACAGTATACAGAGTCACTGCCAGGAAAAAAAAAAAGTGCATGTGTCCCAATATCCTCAAACTTTACACACAATTTCAGTGGACTTGGCAATCCCAAAGTTACTTTTAGGTTAAAAAAAATCCCCGTTTTGAGGTGAAATGCAGTAACCATGATACACTAAACTGAGAATATTTTATTAAATATTTTATTTTATTAAATACTCCAGCCATTTAAAACTGTCAGTAAAATTATCAAGAATGTAAGTTTCCCTAAGCTGAAATCTGCATGTTGATTGTCCTACTTAGGTTCCATGAAAAATGTTTTTGTCCCTTGGAGTCCCTATGTCTCCAATCACATTCCCAAAAGAAAGCAGCCGTTGGCCGGGCACGATGGCTCACACCCATAATCTAGCACTTTGGGAGGCCGAGGCGGGCGGATCACCTGAGGTCAGGAGTTCAAGACCAGCATGGCCAACGTGGTGTAACCCCGTCTCTACTAAAAATACAAAAAATAGCCAGGCGTGGTGGCATATACCTATAATCCCAGCTACCTGGGAGGCTGAGGCAGGAGAATTGCTTGAACTCGGGAGGTGGAGGTTGCACAGAGCCAAGATCGCACCACTACACTCCAGCCTGGGTGTCAGAGTAAGACTCTCAAAAATAAATAAATAAATAAATAAAAATAAAAAAGAAAGCTGTCTCAGGGTTCAGGGGGAAAAGGGGAACCCCTTTAGGTAGTTGAAGTAGGAAGGGAATGAATGCAGGGAATGAAGTGTTTACAAGAAGAGGAGGTTCTAGGCTGAGCCTCCTGGGATGACTCCCAGGAAAGTGCAGTGCTAGCCGCTAGGGCTGGGGGCATGGTTGCCTCCATGACCCTCGCAAGAGCCACATCTGCTGTAGCAGCCTCCACACACCTACAGACTGGAGAATGGACACCCAAAGCTGTGATCTATGGATTAGAGGGTCAAATTAAGAGAGTGCTGTCCCTGCCCTCCTTTCTTAACATCCAGGAAGCTGGGGCAGAACCCTGGAACCTGCAGCCCAAAACCAGCAGCGGCAGTCCTAAGTGCAGGAACCCCCCCACCCCCACCTTCTGCTAACCCTTGTGGGGGTGCATCTGACCTGCAGAGCCGCCTCTGCAGCCGAAGCCTAACTTCTGGGAGTCTGGGGAATGTCCTTTTAGCTTTCCAATCTTGCAAGTAGGAGCAAACCAATCCAAGTATCTGCCTTAGTGGCTTTTCTAAATAGTGAGGGTCCTTTTAGGTCTCTATGTAATACAGTAAATCAGAATGAAGGCATGGTCATTTACTGAACTCTTGGTAATTACTCTTGCAGCCCTGATACTCCAATGGAAAGTTTTGGCATTCCCTTCTAAGTACTGATGAAACTGGAATTGATTTTGCTTATTACTTAAATATATTAATAACTATACTGACAGCAAAGAACACTAGGTATAAAATTCATTACTAAAAGATTCATGGGAAAGAGGGTGCAGGGCTGACTTGAATTAAAAAGGCAATGAAATTCCTCTGAGCTCATCAAATGTACTTTCTCTTGTTAGGGGCGTTATGGATGCTGTCGCTTCCTTCGAGATGGTTATAAAACTCCAAGAGAGGTTGTATTTAAAATTGTTTCATCTCTAAGTTGCCACTGTGTTGTTCTCCCTCTATTGATTATATGTTGGAATACTGGAAAGGGAAGTGTTAATTTTGGAGTCAGTAAGCCTGGAGCCAGGCAATAGAATAGTGTCTTCAGTAGGGACAGTGTGCTGGTCATTTAAAACCAGCTTATAGGCCAGGTGCAGTGGCCTATAATCCCAATGCTTGGGGAGGCTGAGGAGGGAGGATCGCTTGAGCCCAGAAGTTTGAGACCAGTCTGGGCAACATAGTGAGACCTTGTCTCTACAAAAAAATAAACAAAATTAGCCAGGCGTGATGGCATGTACCTGTGGTCCCAGCAACTCGGGAGGCTGAGGTGGGAGGATCACTTGAGCCCAGGAAGTCAGGGCTGCAATGAGCAGAGATCACACCATTGCACTTGAGCCTGGGTGACAGAGTGAGACCCTGTCTCAAAAAATAAAAATTTCTTTAAAATTTTAAAAATAAATAAAACCAGCTTGTAGACAAGGACAACCGATTCTGTGGCTCACACATTTTTCTTAAAGACCAACTGTGGTCTCCTCCTTGGGTTTCTTTGCCACAGTGACTAATATAATGATATAAATCAGATCATCTTCCAAACTTGGTGATAGACGTATTGCTACTTCTTTGTTAGAGGTATAGGAAGCTTTAGTATAATAAACTACCAAGGAGTCTTGTGTATGTTTCTGACTTACTTTCTGAAATGTTACCATGGAAAACTACCAAAAACAGCATCTCCTCATTATAGTAAAATTCTACTCATGCCAGCCTCAAAGCTGTAAAAATCAGACAAGCATGGGAAACCCTGTGAGGCACAGGGTGTTACGTATGTACTCTGATTTCACCTTTAAAAAGTTTGACTTATTTGATTCTAGGACCCTAATCGACTGCATTATGACCCTGCTGAACTCAAGCTCTTTGAAAACATTGAATGTGAGTGGCCTGTGTTCTGGACATATTTTATAATAGATGGAGTCTTCAATGGTGATGCTGTTCAGGTGAGACAATGCTGGGTGTTATGTTGATAATTATTTTCATTCCACTGTTGTACGATTATTATTACAACATAGGGTAATACAAGAATTTAGGTCACTGTTTTGGTTTATCTGTTCCCACTTAAACTTTCCCATAACTGAGTGAATTAAAACAACAGTATTTTATTTATTTGCTCATGATTCTGCGATTTGGGCAGAGCCCAGCAGGGACAGACTGTCTCTACTTTACCTGCTGTCAGCTGGGATGGTTCCATGGAAGTAGAGAATCCATTTCCAAGATAGCCTCACTCACATGGCCAGTTGATGCTGGCCAGCAGCCGACGCTGGGAGCTCAGCTGTGCTGTTGGCTGGGGCCATGGTTCTCCTCCACATGGCTAGCTTGGGCTTCTCACAATATTGTAGTCTCTGGGCCATTAGTTTTACATGTTGGTTGTTTTCTCCCCAGAACACAAAAGCAGAAGCTGCCAAGCTTCCTTAAGTGTTAGGCCCGGAAGTGACAAAATGTCACTTTCATCACATTCTGTTGGTTCAAGGGCCATCCCATATTCAAGCGGGAGGGGACTAGACAAGGGCATCAGTCCTAGGAGGCGTGGTTCCCTGGGGTCCGGCAAGAACGGTCCATCATAGACAGGTTTTGTTGTTGCTGTTGTTCTTTCCAGATCAGCCAGTGGTTTTGCTGTCTTTAGCCCTAGTTTGGGGAGCTCTTAGATAACATCTTACTTTGTGAAACAGCCTCCTAACTTGAATCTCAACCTCTGGCCTGGCTCCCTGCTGTTTCCATTCTTCTCACCCATGCCAGAGTGATCTTATTAAAAGGCAAATTAGGTTATGCTACTGCCTTACTTGAAAGCTATGAATGGCTTTCTGGTTGCTTTTGGGATGAAGTGCAAGCACTTCATGCGTTTTGTGGGGTTTCATATGATCTGATCCCTGTTTTCACCCCTTTAGCCTCCTTTCTCAGTGCTTCTTTCTTTTCTTGAGTTCTGTGATCCAAGCACACTGAAATCCTTTCAGTCCTTTAAACAGGCCATGTGCCCTCCTGTCTTCTCAAAGGCCTAGGACATTCTTTTCTTCCCCAGTTGTCCCTCCCCCTTCCCTTGGTTCAATGTGAGTGTGTCTTCTTTTGGAAAGCCTTCTCTGATCTTTAAAGCTGGGGCAGGTGCCCCTGTGCCCCATAACAACTGTAACAGCATGGGTCACACTATATTGTATCTCCCACTTACCTGTTAAAGGACCCTGGTAGAGGCCATCTCTCTCCAGTTCACGGGTATAATCCCTGTGCCTAGTGCATTGTACATGCACAGTAAACATAAGCAACACTCATTTGTTCAAGACCTATCTCTTTAGCTTCTACTTGGTACCATGCTCTGTGCTGAGCCCTGACCCTACTTCGTTGAGCAGAACCAACCTGTCCTTGTGCAACTTACATGAATGACTGACATCACAGATGCTTTGCCATTTTTTTCAACTGGTTTTGATCACGTTTGGTGGGAGTGCGGATGATCAGTCAGAGATCTATTTTAGCTCTTGAAAGTTCTGCTCAGGAATGCTGGGGGCTTCAGAACCAGAAGTCAGCTGGAAATGTTAATATTCCCCCACTGTTGATGCTTTCTCTTAGGCTTCAGTGACTGTCTTAGATTATCTGTCATTTTATCCCAGAATTGAAAGATCTCAAAAGAACTGACTTCGAATTTCCATTGTGAACAGGCTTAGCAATGATGGGGGGAAAGAACACTCAGGGGAAGAAAATAACTGTGCTTAGCATCTTGTTTAAGCCTCATGTAATCTTTCCTACTACCACGTGTGTTGTCTCTCCCACTTGTTGCCCAGTGACATTTTTAATATGGGGTCAACTTTTTTAGCTCCCACATATGAGTGAGAACATGCGGCATCTTTCTGTGCCTGGCTTAGGGAAATAAGTGAAATTAACACAATGTTAAGTGAAATTAACACAATGACCTCCAGTTTCATCCATGTTACTGCAAATGACAGAATGTTATTCTTTTGTTATGGCTGAATAGTAATGAATGCCTCTTAAGTGGAAAACTTCCCAAGAGGTAGAAATGGGATACACTGCTTAAGATACTGCTTCCCCCACAAGAAGTTTATAATCCGGTCGCTAAGACAAAATTTTAAATATATGATAGGTTAAGAGTGAAATAATTACATAATGAGTTAAAGACAACATGGGAAAGACATCTGATACACAGTGTCGATGTGACTACTGGAGGAATGTTGAGGAAGAAACAGCTACTGCATGATGGGTGCTCTGTCCCTTTTCTGGAAGCGTGACAGGTGGGGCTGAGCTTAGACACAGTCCTGGGCAGAACAGCTGATCGTGTTTAGCTCCTCCTAACACTGTAAGTGTGCCTCCTGCACTCCTGGAGCTGAGGGTATTTGTGCCCTGTATCCGAACTCTACTCTGTTGCCATGAGAGTTTTTTGTCTATGTTGCACCGCTGTTAGAGCATTCATGACCAGACCTCCTTCCTTCCATGGATGATGGGGCTGTTTTCCAGGTCCAAGAGTACCGAGAGGCCCTAGAGGGAATACTCATCAGAGGCAAGAATGGGATCCGCCTGGTGCCAGAACTCTATGCTGTCCCACCTAACAAGGTAACCCGGTGGCAGGGAGCCCTTTGCACTGCTTATCTAGAACTAAATAACTCGTTCCTTGGTCTGTTGGTATTCTTTATCCCCCTTTTTAATCCAATAAACACCTTTTCTCCAAATGTGGTTTCAAAGCCTCAGGTAGGCTGGGCACTGTGGCTCATGCCTATAATCCCAGCACTTTGGGAGGCTAAGGCGGGTGGATTACTTGAGGTCAGCAGTTTGAGACCAGCCTGGCCAACATGGTGAAACCCCATCTCCCATCTCTACTTAAAAAAAAAAAAAAAAAAATTAACCAGGCATGGTGGAACATGCCTGTAGTCCCAGCTTCTGAGGAGGCTGAGGCAAGAGAGTCGTTCGATCCCAGGAGGTGGAGGTTGCAGTGAGCTGAGATCATGCCACTGCACTCCAGCCTAGGCTACAGAGCAAGACTCCATCTCAAAAAACAAACAAACAAAAACACTAGGTAGTGTTCCTGTCTATCCCAAGGAAACATGGCTTTGGAAAAATATGTGGAACATGCTTGACCATGGGTATCATGGGGAGGCAGCAGTGGAAGACCTTCAAAGGATACCTGTCCCTCCCGCAACCCTGACACAGGCTCTCTAAAGAACGTAAACCTCTGTTGTGCACCATGTTTTTACACACTTCCACAGACGAAGAAGCCAGATGTACAGGGGTATTGAGAATCTCTTCCTTTGATTCAAGCAGTTTGCAAGCTAAAGTTTGAGTAATCAATTAGAAGCTATTCTACATCCAGGAGAGAAAAACAGTCCAGTTCCAAGAAAATGCCCAAACATAGTTTTATTCTTTCAAATTTTCTAAATTGGGTCAGGATGGACCTATTGTCTTGGCAGGAAGATTTCTCTGTCAATATCTCATGGTTAAGAGAGAAGAGTGCTTGGTTCCAGGCTGTCCCTCGTATGTTCTTGGTGCCTCAAAGCTTGATTATTGTGTTTGTGGGATGAAAAGGCCTTCAGAGGGCTGTGTCTTCCCCCAAATCACCAGGGCCTGGAGGAGGTCTTAAGCCAGCAGAGGCCTAGCATACAGCGACTTGGGTTTAGGTGTTCTGTGGCTAAATCAGGCCCACACGCACATGGCCATAGAACTGGCAGGGCCTTTTAAAGTGTCTGCCTCAGCTCAGTGAGGCTGTGGAACCTGTCAGAGCTCACATAGCACTGGGCTCTGCCCTGGGTCCAGAACCCAGGTTCAGGGCCTTGCTGCCACCCCATGCTGCCTCCTATTGGGTGGTACATTTCTGGGTAATGGAAGTATCCACAGTGGATACTCTCACTAGGCTTCTGAAAGCAGTGGTATAGTGGACTTCTTTACTTTTCCAGGAGTCTGATACTTGATCCTTAAAGCAAAAAAGGTACCACCGTGTATCACTTTGGCCATTATTTTCATCTAAAAGGAACTATTATGCGTTAGATCATTGAACCAGTTAAACCAAGTAGAAAATCAAAGGAAAGAGTTGAGTTTCCGTGAGTAGAATGTGCTGTCGCCAGAAGTATTCAGTTTTTTGCATTTATATTAGCCCATCCGGTTCACTGGGCCACTTGAGGTGGCCACTTGTTCCAGATGAGCTCACCAAGTCCCACCAGCCTGGACCCTTAGCACTGAGCTCCGGGATGTTGATGGCCCCTCATCCCATCATGAACCGACAGCCCACATCATCCGAGCTCTCTCAGGACAGATTTTGTTCCAGGGTTAAGGGCCAGACTTTGGACAGGAACTGTCTTCCCTCACTCTGCAGATCAGTCCAGGGAGCCTGCTGGGGCTGTTCCCTGTATGTGTCCTCAGCCTAGATTCCCTGCAAATGAGTGCATTCTTTTTAGTACACGTGCTGCAGTGTGTGGGTTGGGGCGGGGCTGGCAGTGGAGGCTCGGTGACCTAGCAGCTACATGTTAATATCCCCCTTCAGGTTGCTCCTTTCCCAGTATTGAGGCATTTGGCAAAACAGAATTAGTAATGAGAGGTCATTTGGAACCTGGAAGCAGAGCAAGGGAAAATAAATGCCTTCAGGGGTATTTTACTTATTCTATAGTAGAGAAGAGCCATGCAAACTAGAGGGCACGTTTTACTGACTATGGTAAATGCTAGATGTTATGAGCTACCCTTTTCTTTCTTTCCGATGAGCAGTGCTGACTACACATTGTAAAAAATTGCTCTACGACTTTCTCTCTTCTAAACTCCACACTGACCTTTGGGTTTCTGCTTGTCATTACAATGTCCTTAGTGTATTTGTGCAGGTGTGCCAGGCACCAGTTTTGCACACACTTTGACACTGATTGCATTTTGTGTTGACTGCTTCCAGATGACAGCTGGGAAGGTTCCTCAGTCACATCAATAAGATGTAGAGACCGCCGGGTAGGATTTCTGCACACAGGGCCACCATGGGCCCATGTGGCACCTGTGTGCAAACTAGATAAAGGGGCTCATCAGAGTGGCAGCAGCCCCGGGCCAGGGTGGCATGCACCTTGGATGTCAGCCCCACTCATTTCCTCAGCTGGACGTGCTTGCACAGGGCATCGCCCTGTATGAGGCCCTCCGTGGACAACTGGAGACCAGTGAAACTGCCTGCAAACATGGATTGAGCACCCGCTCCGTGGCAGGCACCAGGCTAGCTACTGGGGCACAAGGGTGGCTACAGCACCAGCTCTTTCCCCATGAGCTTGCAGGTTAGCGGGCGCCAGAGGAGCTGGCCTGTAAAATGGAGGGCAGCCACAGCAGAGGCGGCAGCAAAGGCATGGCACCTTTGAGGACCTGTGGGCAGTTCAGAAGGACCAGTGTGCGGAGAGGCAGAGAGGGACGCCTCCATGTGGGGCAGGAGCTGGCTTATGGGTAGGAAGAGTGCAAAGCCAGGCTGTCTTATGAACTGGACACCTTGTCTGCTCTCTGTTCTTTGCATTGAATATTTCTCATTCTAGATCTTTGCAGTTGTTTGTTTTTGAGACAGAGTCTCCCTCTGTCACCCAGGCTAGAGTGCAGTGGCACAATCTTGGCTCACTACAACCTCCGTCTCCTGGGTTCAAGCGATTCTCCTGCCTCAGCCTCCCGAGTATCTGGAACTACAGGCATTTGCCACCATGCCCAACTGATTTTTGTATTTTTAGTCGAGACAGGCTTTTGCCGTGTTGGCCAGGCTGGTCTTAAACTCCTAGCCTCAGGTGATCCGCCCACTTCGGCTTCCCAAAGTGCTGGGATTATAGGCGTGAGCCACCGTGCCAACCTAGCAGTCTTTTTTAACACGACTTATATTTCAAATAGTTTTCACATACTACCTGAGTATCATACAAGTAATTCTGTACACTACAAAACCTCTGGATTCTGTAGAAAGAAGAAAACATCTCTAATTCTACTGCCCAAAGATTATGACATTTTGGAGAATCTTCCACACTATTATCCTATTGGATTATTTGATTACTAATGACATTTAATTCTGTTCAGTTCATGCACTTAAGTTTTTCTTTTTTAAAAAAAAAAAGTTCTTAGTTTTAGTTTTTAAACCCATCTTTTTTTAAATTGTACTTTAGGTTCTGGGGCACATGTGCAGATCATGCAGGATTGTTGCATAGGTACACACATGGCAAGGTGGTTTGCTGCACTTTTACTAAAATATTAATAACATCACTGATTAATCCACAAGCAGAAAATGACTCCCCTGTGGTGTGATGTTCCCCTTGGGAGAAAGATGTTTCCTATTTCCTTTGGTTGACTTATGTTTTCTGGAGGAAAAAAGCAGTCACTGACATTACCCCCAACCAATGATGTGATGGCTAAAATGGCAAAGCGCAGCATGGAGTTTAGAAGAGAGAAGGTTGTGGACTAGCTTACAATGCATAGCCAGCTCTGTCCTCCAGAAAGCACCAAAGCTGATTTAGCTGAGACAGAAGCCCCCGTGATTGAGCTTTTTGAGGCCCTGAAGGAGCAGTTGCAGGTTAGTAGTGCAAGTGTTTTTCCACGGTAAATAGTGCCACCTTCTGGCAGTTCTCTTGCGTTAGGCGCACAGTTTATAAACCCCTGGGGATGGCTTCCAGCGATGCACCGCCACAGCTGGAGGCTGATGTTTGCCATCATTTCACCTGTAATGCAGCCAAATGTAAGCATGAGCTGTGAGCATTCTCATGGCCAGAGCCGTGCCACAAAGAAGGCAGGCCAGACATCCAGTGCTCATGGCCTTGTGTTTGCCTGTAGGAAGGGCACTTGTCCAGAACCAGGCCGCAATTTGACTTCCACCTCTGCTGCTTTATATATAGCCTTGCAGCCTGAGGAAGGAGCTTGCGTCCCAGTATCCTAGCGCCTGCATGGAATTGGCCTGGAGGATGAATACCATTCCGTAAATCGTCAGCGCACTCTCCAGGGTCAGGTATCATGGACATTTTATCCTCTGAGTTTCTGACTTTGGATTTGTTTCTCTTTCCAGGTAGATGAAGAGTACAAGAACCCTCACACTGTGGACCGAGTTCCTATGGGGAAGGTGCCTCATCTGTGGGGCCAATCCTTGTACATCCTCAGCTCACTGTTGGCAGAGGTAGGGGGCTTGGTGGCCTCACAGACTGGAAACCATGTGATTGGAGGTGCAGGGAACCCCAAAAGGGCACAGGGACTCTCTGCCAGGGGTGCATGCGGATGTCTTTTGCATCTTCATGCATTTAAGGTCATCCGGACCATGTTGGCTCCAGGGCTCAACTCCTGGCCTTGTGTGTCCATATTTCCATAAAACCAGCTCAGGTCCAGGCAGGCCCAGCTCTCCCCATCGCCCCTGCCAGCATTCCACCTCTGTGGTTGGAACCTGTTTCACGTGATGGTTAGAGGAGCTGGAAGCTTCTTGGCCGGGATTATTAGCACATCTGATCCTAGAAGATACAAGAGTTGGGAAATGACTAGATTGGCCCCAGCTGCCCCCGCCCCAGTCCTAGGTGCAGGAAGTGCAAGAACCACAGATTTCTCTACAGAAAGAGGCGGCGGGCCAGATTTTCTCTGGTGGATTTTGTGTCAGGTATCTCCTCAGACAACCCACAGCACCCTTCCTTCTGTAGACAACTGCCTCTGGACACCTCTTTTTGTTCCACATTGACTTGTCCCCAGGCTTTTGTTTTAATACGCAATACTCTGGAGTTGCCTCAGAATGAATCCCCCAGTCCTCAGTGTGAGTTACCTTATCAGATGTCCTTCCTGAGAGGGTCCCACTCAGCTGAGTGCGAGGAGAAGTGGGGAGGGGAAGGAGCCCAGGGAAGGGTCAAGGGGCTGCCAGGCTCTAGAAAAGGCCGAAAGGGTGGTGGGTCAGCATGCCACCAGGTTCCCAGAGTGTCGAAGCCCAGGATGAAAGATAGCACCGTGGAAGCAGCCCTCTGGAACTCTAGCAGCTGAGCTGGAGCAGTTGTTTCGTGGGTACCTCTAGACTCCCCAGGGTCCTGGTCATGTCCTTGGAGTAGGGGCCGTGTCTTCCACTCCTGTGTTTATTAGTAGGAAAAACACATGTATCTCCTTTGAAAGCCAGCCCTGTCTCTCAGTAGTTCTCTAACTCTGGGCAAGTTTCTAACCTCTGTGGGCCTCGGTTTCCTCATCTGTAAAGTGAAAAGGTTGGACTTGATCACCTCTGCGATACCTTCCAGCTCTGATTTCTGTATCAGTGAGATGGGAAACCAGTAACTCCCTTCCCCTGCCTTCTGCTCTCCGATATAAAGGCTTTCTCTGGGCCCAGTACTAGGCCTGTTTCTCCTCAGAACTCCCAGAACACCTTGATCCTCCCTCTAGGGGCTCAGATCATTTGTAGAAAGTGCAAGGAGGTCCGTATTCGAAGAGAATACTTTGCAAGCGAGTGGGGGTGGTGGGGCCAAGTTCCCACTCTGCCACTTCCCTTGAGTCATTACCGTGGTTTTCCCACCTGTACAGTGGTGATGGTGGTAGTGTAGGGGCCAAGGCGTTCCCCTAAAGATTTGATGGAAAATCACTGACACACAGCAGATTGATTTATAAGAAAAAAGTGCATGCAGATGTACTTAACATGTATACAGGGCAGCCTTCAGAATGAAGACCCCAGGATCTAGGGGAAATTGTCCATTTTTACACATAGTTTCAACAAAGTATGGACAGCTGTGTATAAATGTGATTACCCAAAAAGGGCCCAATTGAATACCAATGGACTGAGTGGGGAAACCCAGCGAGGGCTTTCTGTCTAGATTCTTCTTGGCCTCTCTGTGCAGTGCTCCTTCCTGCTGGATGTGGGACCCTTATGACCTATAGCCAAACAAGGTAGGTCAGGGAATTTTATATGGCTAGTTTTTACAGATAATATTTTTAGGGTTTTTTTGGCTGGCTCTGGGAAAAAGGGATTCTGGTTTCCATGCCCCGCCTTTGGGAAGAGGGATTCTAGTTTCCATGGTGCCTCCGGGAGAATGGACTGAGCAAGGAAGACAGGAGGTCAGAGAAAAGCTTTTGCTTCTGAAGCTGCTGCTGAGGCCTTCATTTTGGGGGTGTTTTCCGAGCCCCAACAGTAGTGCCTACCTGTCAGGAGGCATAAATGTGACGGTCCACATACAGTGACTCAACAGAATGCCTGGCATGTTACTGAGAGCTCAGATAGTATTTGTTATCATTCTTTTTGCTCATACAAGATGGTGGCATATTATTCGATGAGCCCTAGAGAGCTAAGTGCAAAAATGCAATATGTTTATCAGTGGCGATTTGAACAATGTTACTCTGTTTCACAGAAAATAAGCAGTTGACTCGAAAAATATAAAGAATTGAATATGTTGAGCCTCAAAATATTTCATTTTCACACTTCAAGATGAAATTTTACTAAATATTTCATATTGTTAATGTTCCTATTTTCATAGGGATTCCTTGCCACTGGTGAAATCGATCCCTTAAATAGAAGATTTTCCACTTCAGTCAAACCTGATGTTGTGGTACAAGGTTTGTGACTGTGTTTATTATTTATGTTTAACTTTGTAAAACCAATGTTATTTTAATTCATAGTGTTTCCTAGTTTCTTATTTCATTTTTTAGAAGTCTGTACGTGCCTATGCTTTAGCATGTAGCAGTTTTGTGAGATGCCTTGTATAACTCAGTGGCTCCCAAAGGCAACAGAATTCTTCCCAACCACAAAATGACTTTCTACAAAGCAGTTGTTTTCTTGAATATAAACCTTGATTGCAAGTTGGGCATAAGTGATTCGTTGTGCATCATTTTTCATAATCGTTATTCTTTGAAAAAATAGAGCCTAAGCCTGGTGAAAACACAGAAGCCAACTGAGGGTCATTCATTCCTCCCTTGGAGTCCTGACGTCTTTCCGCCTTTTGCCTATATCTACCTTTCCTCCCCCTCCTCTCCAGCCAACCCTTCTCCTGGAGAGGTGGGACACCGGCCCGGGCTACTGCTGCCATCCACCCAGCAAGTGATTTCACCCTTCTGTGCCTCAGGGTCATCAAGACTTGAGCTCCCTCGCTGGGGCTTCCTAAGATGGACTGAGATTGCAGTGGGGAAAGTGCTTGGTGTGGTGCCTGGCGTATGGTGTACACCCGGGTGCCGCAGTTCCTCTTCCTACCTTCCCTCTTAGGGAGGACCTCCTGGCAGTCCGGTAACATTCTGTGCGCCCCATAGAGCACACCATCTGTTGGAAATAGATGTTGAAAGTAGATGCTTGGTGCCATAAAGAAAAATTAGCACTGAGACAAAGGATCTTTCAGCAACACAGTTTTTTTACTTCCTGGACTGCAGGAAGAGTACTCACTAGCCATGTTGCCATGAGAGTACAAAGAACAAAGAACACACACAAATTTAGCCCTTACGCATTTGGGGCTGTCCTTATTGCTGTGTTTGAGCTCCATTGGCTAGAGTTCTAATGTCATAGCACGTTGTGTGTACACCTTATTGCCCCTGAATGAGACTGTACATTTCTTAATGACAAGGCTCATATCATTCTTGCAGTTTCTATATTGATTGGCACATACACACCCATACGTTGATAACAGTGATTGAACAAAATGACAAGCATTTCTCTCTGGCCACTGGTTCATTTTGCTTCAGGGGCTCATGCTGTGGTGAGATGAGCTGATATCACCCAGTCAGTAGAACCATGAGATACACCTGTCACAACATTCTGATGAGGTAAAGTTTGTGAGGATGATCATCATCTCCACCTTATACACGAGGCTTAGAAGTTCACCTCCCTCAAGGAGCCACAGCTGATAGCTGCAGGTGTGAACCTGTTCCTGACTTCCAGGTGGACTGATCCAGCCGGACTCCATTGTCCCTGCACTAAGCCAGAGCACAGCCCGCTAATTAATCCCTTGAATCGACAAGACCGTTTTTCTAACTGCAGACTGGGGCACTTTGATGGGTGTTCCCTAGCATTTGTTTAGTGTAACAGAACATCGTAGAAATTCGCAGAAGGGGCTGGGCGCGGTGGCTCAAGCCTGTAATCCCAGCACTTTGGGAGGCCGAGGCGGGTAGATCACGAGGCCAAGAGATCGAGACCATCCTGGTCAACATGGTGAAACCCCATCTCTACTAAAAATACAAAAAATTAGCTGGGCATGGTGGCATGTGCCTGTAATTCCGGCTACTCAGGAGGCTGAGGCAGGAGAATTGCCTGAACCCAGGAGGCGAAGGTTGTGGTGAGCCAAGATCGTGCCATTGCACTCCAGCCTGGGTAACAAGAGCGAAACTCCGTCTCAAAAAAAAAAAAAAAAAAGAAATTCCCAGAAGGTCAGGCATAGAGTAGGGGAAGTGCAGTTTTAGACCCATAGCCACATCCAGCTGCACAGATTGTGAGGCTCCCAGGCCTCCCCCAAAACCACTGCTCTAAAGGAGTTAATCCTACAGAGAGTGGCTGCTGGGGTTCTGATCAGTGTGGAGTCTCACATGTCCTTGGAAGCTTTAGAAGAGATAGGTGTTCAGGGAAGCCACCCAGCCAGCCCTGCATGGCTGATGCTCCCATTTGCTGAGGGCCTGGGAGATGAGGTTTCAGTCCACGTGCAGCTGTCACTGGCCAGTTGCATATGCAAGGCTTCCCTCAGACCTTGTTGTGAAGGTCAGATGAGATAATGGCTATGAAAATACTTGAAAAGGCATCAAGTGCCATGTAAATAGAAGGTGGCACTCAGCTCTCAACTGCATGTATATGTATTGTACATTCCACCCTGCCAGCCCGTGGGTTCAGTGATTGTACTTACTGGTAGCCAATCCTGCACTGCCCTGAGCCTCTCCAGCCCCCACCACAGCTGGACATGGCACCAACCTCTCTCCCTGTGGCCGTGCTCCCCTTTTCCAGTCCCGTCCCTGGAGTCCTTCCCTTTGCCAAAGCGCTGTCCCTTCAGAGAAAGGCTAGCAATACTAGTACAGCAGGTGCAGCCTTAGCCGATCCTGGGGGGTCCCCAGTGACAGCCTCCCTCTTCCATGGGCCCCCAGGTCCCAGGCACTATGAGCTCCCTGTCTGCTGGAGAGCCAGGTGCCCAGCCTCCCAGAGATGGGGCCCAGGCCAGCCCTGGGGTGATTTTTCCCCACCAGTGGGGCCCTGTGCAGGGGTTCTGAATGGGCCAGGCTGTTCCACTACCACCAGCATCCCCACTCGCAGGCCCACTTTGCTTTCTCTAGAGGGATGTCTCTTCCTTCTCGCCCCCTCAGTCAGAGCTTCCCCTGCCAGCAGACACCCCATCTTACTCTTCTTTTCCCCGTCCTTTGGGATCAGGGGCACAGGCTTCTGGCATCCTCCAAGCAGAGCTGTTTCCACTCCTGACCCTACATGAAAAGGGACACCAGGCAGGTTTAGAACAGATGCAGACCCAGAGGGAGGCAGGACATTACATGAGACTGGGTGACTTGGCTTGGGACTTACTGAGGATAGTTTCTAGAAGTCTCTTATCAGACTGTCTTGCACATTGAGGGCACTTGATAAATAGGCCTCAGGGGTGTTGAGGGGTGGCAAGGACAGAACGGGGAGGAGCAGCAGGACAAATGCTGTAATTTCCAAAGCCAGTCATGGCATGGAAGAGCAAGCTAATGTGTATGTCACCAGGCAGAAGAGGGCAGTAAGGAACGTGTGTCCATAAGAGACAAAACTCATGAGCTACCACTCATTCTGTCCTCTTGTTTACAGTTACTGTTTTGGCAGAAAACAATCACATTAAGGACTTGCTGAGGAAACACGGGGTGAACGTCCAGAGTATCGCGGACATTCATCCAATTCAAGTCCAGCCAGGCCGGATTCTTAGTCACATATATGCCAAGCTTGGTAGGTTTGTGGAAATTACTAGGGCATTTTTGGCTTGGGGGCACCTCGGTTCTAGATTTGGGGTCTCAGGGAAACTGTGATATACGTAAGTTCTAAGGAGTTGGACAAAATACTAACGCGGGTGGTTCCATGCTTCGGTGTGAAGAGGAACAGGCGAACCAGCACGTTCTTCCCATACCCATTCAGTGGGTACCGGCACAGGTAGCCACAGCATTTGCTGGATCTTTTGTAAAGTAAGGAGCCACCTTGGAAAATTCACAATTGGAAAAGTCATTTGTGTCTTGATGATGCTTCTCATGTTTACCTTTAGTATCAGAAAATGCTCATTTACCTATTAAAATGGGAGGAAGTTCTCTATGCTTTTTCTTTTATTTATTTTTTTGAGGTGCAGTCTCGCTCTGTCACCAGATTAGAGTGCAGTGGCATGATCTCAGCTCACTGCAACGTCTGCCTCCTGGGTTCAAGCGATTCTCCTGCCTCAGCCTCCCAAGTAGCTGGGATTACAGGCGTGCACAACCATGCCTGGCTCATTTTTGTATGTTTAATAGAGATGGGCTTTCACCATGTTGGCCAGGACTGTCTCAATCTCTTGACCTTGTGATATACCTGCCTTGGCCTCCCAAAGTGCTGGGATTACAGGCATGAGCCACCACACCTAGCCTCCCTGCTTTTTCTAGAATCTGACTTTGTTTACTATGATGGCTCAATACTAAATAAATCAAAAGTAAACGTTCTATAATCCTTTTAGTAGTTTTATTCCATGCAGTTCCAACTGAGTACTGTTCCTATACATTCATGAAAAGAAGGGGGGCAGGATTTGTTTTTATATTCAGCTTTGTGCCATTTTAAAGGATGATGGCAATAGAAGAACCAAGCCCCAAAGTAGGTTGTCTAATCTAGAAATGAGCTCAATGTTAGCCTGAGTCGCCTGGATTACTTGTTACTGTATTTCCTCTAACTCCGATTTCTCTTTTACTCTTCAAACAGGACGGAATAAGAATATGAATTTGAGTGGGCGACCATATCGACATATTGGCGTCCTTGGAACTTCTAAACTATATGTGATTAGGAACCAAATCTTTACTTTTACCCCCCAGGTGAGGAGAGCAGGCCAACGGCAAGCCAATGAGCTTCTTTTTTTACTTACATTCTCTTGGCTGTCTGGTAAGCTTTTCCCCTATGAATATGGCAGAATTCTGCATGCATAGGTTCAAATAGAGACATGAGAAATGACACACAGTGCCTGGTACAAGTCTGCCCATAGTAGGTACTCAGTAAATGTTGATTGAGTCAGGTATGCCATCACTTCTGGTCATAAATAGTAGTGAAATTCAGACTGTTTTAGAGGTTTGCTGTTGACATGTCACTTGACACTTGACTCACAGTCCTTGCGCCCCTAATCACAATCATCTCTGACCCTTATGCAAGCTGTCATCAGACCCTCTGCTAACACACAGCCAGGCTGATTTTCTGGCCCCAATCCCCTTACTGGGATACTGAGTATACTGATTATGGAACTTACCTGCAGAGCTTTGGGTTCCAAAGAAAACTAGTCCTGTGGAAGTACCTAGAAAATGTTTTTCACCCATTTGGGCAGCTAGAAAGACCAACGGTGGGATCACTTTGGCCGCGCGGGGCACAGCCCCCACTCACCTGGGCACAGGGGTGGTCATGGGGTCTTGGATCACTAGTCCGAAACTGCTCTTTTTCATCCTAGCCCCTGCTCCTCACTGAAATCTTGCGAGCTATTTCCTTTAGTAACAGATTTCAGTTCAGAGCTGAGCCTGCGCTAGTCCAGAGGCCAAGAGAACAATTTGATTTGTTCTCAACATCTGGCAGCAGTGTCTTTAGGTGACATTAACCAAAGCCATCAATCAGGTAAACAGAGTGTCCACCTCTGACCTGCTCACGGTACCCCCACTTGGAAAGCATCTTCGAACCCATAGCCCTGGAAAGAATAGGAATTAAGGAGTTATTGATTTGCTTTTAGAGACCGTGGTTTTGGGCAAGATGCTTAAATCCCCATCTGAGGAGCTGAAAATAAATCTAGCACCTCACCTTTCCCTTCCACACTATAGCGACTGCTCCTGGGCCGGCAGCAGACTGATTTGTCTGATCTTGAGCAGGGCAGCCCAATGACCTAGTGGATTGAAACCAGCACTGAGTTTCTTGCCTGGCGATAAAACCCCAGGATTAGTGCTGCCCTGAGTGTCAGCTGGTGTTTCAGGTAAACGAAGGGTGGCCGTTGACCTGGCCTCTTCTGACTTTCAGTTCACTGACCAGCATCACTTCTACCTGGCCCTCGATAATGAGATGATCGTGGAGATGCTGAGGATCGAGCTGGCCTACCTGTGCACCTGCTGGAGGATGACGGGCAGACCCACGCTCACCTTCCCCATCAGCCGCACCATGCTCAGTAACTCCAGGGATTTCAGCAGGCTCTCTCCTGCCCCAGGGGTGGTTTGGGCTTTTACAAATGTTTGAAATGGCTCCCATGACCACAACAAAGCACTGAAGGGGCTTCTTAGCAGTTTGGTTTCTTATCTTGGGAATCTTCTAGGCCAGAAGTATTTTAATTAGATGGTGTTGATGAAAATGTTTCAGTGTATACCAGCGGGAAAAAAAAAGTCTTCCCAGACTAAACTAATTCATCCCTTTCTTTTTTTTCCTTAGCAAATGATGGTTCAGACATTCATTCTGCTGTGCTTTCCACAATTAGAAAACTAGAGGATGGGTATTTTGGAGGAGCCAGGTAATTTGTAATTTAAAAAAAAAGTAAGAGTAGCGCTGACCTTTCTTAAAGTCCTGCTTGCCCTTGTCCCGTTTTTCATATTAATTGTTGAACCTAAAAGCATGGAGTTTTAGAGTAAGCAGGAATTTAACACTTCTCTAATCCAGTCTGCTGTGTGAAACTTGGCTTAGCTCTGAAATAGCACTCAGCTGGTATCTTTTAAGCTTTACAGGCACGAGAAGGCCTCAGACACAGGGAGGTGAACCCATCAAGTCCCTCTGAAGTGTCCATTCTTCTTGGAACACATGTATGGGATTCTGTGTATGTTTCTCTTAAAAGGTGTGGAAGAAAATAGTGCCTAGAATCTGGCAGGGGCCCAATAAACACTCCTCGTACCAACTTTAGTATGCTATCACACTAAGATTCATTTGCAGGCTGGGCATAGTGGCTCATGCCTATAATTCCAGCACTTTGGGAGGCTGAGGCGGGTGGATTATGAGGTCAGGAGATCAAGACCATCCTGGCTAACACAGTGAAACCTCACCTCTACTAAAAATGCAAAAAATTAGCCAGGCATGGTGGCACACACCTGTAATCGCAGCTACTTGGTAGGCTGAGGCAGGAGACTCGCTTGAACCCGGGAGGCGGAGGTTGCAGTGAGTGGAGAGTGCACCACTGCACTCCAGCCTGGGCAACAGAGCGAGACTCCGTCTCAAAAAAAAAAAAAAAATTCATTTGCAGGCCTTGGTAAATTCCTTAGAGCCCTGGGAGCAGAGCACCTGAATGAGCCTGCATAGGTCACTGTTCCCTCACCCTCTGTGGAATGAGCCACCTTCTGGTTTACAGGCCTGGAGTAGGGCAGACGGCACCCAGATTTTCTACTTAAGCACCTTAAGTGGTAGAGGGCTTACCCTCCAGGAAAGCCCCTTCTATTTTTGTGCCCACTGTCACAAGGCAGAGGTTTTCTCTGTAGTGTCTCTTCTCTCATCTCCCTGCATCCCCTAGGATATACCAGAAGGGCCCCAAGAGACACCGTGGGCCAGGCACAGTGGCTCACGCCTGTAATCTCAGCACTTTGGGAGGCCAAGGCGGGTGGATCACCTGAGGTCAGGAGTTTGAGACCAGCCTGGCCAAAATGGTGAAACTCTGTCTCTACTAAAAATATAAAATTTAGCTGGGCATGGTGGTGGATGCCTATTATCCCAGCTACTCCCGAGACTGGGGCAGGAGAATTGCTTGAACCCGGGAGGTGGAGGCTGCAGTGAGCCAAGATTGCGCCACTGTACTCCAGCCTGAGTGACAGAGCAAGATTCCGGCTAAAAAAAAAAAAAAAGAGAGAGAGAGAGAATTTCACTGTGTAGCCCAGCCCCAGTATAGCCTTTCCAGGGCTCAGGAGGCTTTTGTTTGGTCCCTGATGGAATGCCAGTTGCTAAAACTGTTGAAGTTGCCCTTTCTTCTCGCATTCTCTCACCCCAGGTATACTACTACCATGGCAAAATCACTGTCATTTTTTAAAATTATGGTAATTTACCTGTAACATTATCTTAACGACTCGTAAGTGTACAGTTCAGTAGTGTTAAGTACATTCACATTGTTATGCAGCCAGTCTCCAGAACTCTTCATCTTGCAACAAGTAAAACCGTGGACCCATTAATAGCAACTCTATTTCCCTCCTCCCAGCCCCTAGCAACCACCAGCCTTCTGTCTCCATGAGTTTGACTGCTCCAGATAGCTCAAATAAGTGGCATCACACACTATTTATCATTTTATGACTGACTCATTTCATATAATGTCCCCAAGCTTAAGTCCCTGTTATTTCTAACCCTGGCCTCCAGCGATTTGAAGAGCCTGCTGAGGTTGGTCTCTCTGCCCACAGAGCTTGTTGCAGATTTTGCTGTAGACTTGAAGCCACCCTTGATCCAAGCTTCTTCTGGCCTTTCTCACGAGACTGTCCCCAGTGTTTTGCCATGTACACCTCCAGAACTAATGCCATACCAGCAATCCGCATCTGCTTCTGCACATTTTACCTTCAATTCGCTTCAGTTACCACCTGGTACATGGCATCGTAATGGACAGAGAATACCAAAGGCCTATCATTAACCATTTTGCAAAATAAATTCTTTTTTTTCCCTTTTTTTGAGATGGAATTTCACTCTTGTTGCCCAGGCTGGAGTGCAGTGGTGTGATCTCGGCTCACTGCAACCTCCACCTCCCAGGTTCAAGCAGTTCTCCTGCCTCAACCTCCCAAATAGCCGGGATCACAGGCATGCACCACCACACCTGGCTGATTTTGTATTTTTAGTAGAGATGGGGTTTCACCGTGTTGGCCAGGCTGGTCTCAAACTCCTGACCTCAAGTGATTCATGTCCCTCGGCCTCCCAAAGTGCTAAGATTACAGGCGTGAGCCACCACACCCAGACGCAAAATAAATTCATTTGATCTAACCATTGTGAAAAGGATACTGTCTGCAGTTCACTGAGCACTGGCAGTGTATACAATGTGTTGTCTCATTGAAGCTTTACTTTTTGACTTGGGGGCATTCCCATTTCATAGACAAGGAGCTGTAGACTCAGAGAGCCAGGGGTGGAAGAGGAATAGGTGCAGCGACTCTGCATGAACCGAGAACCCGGCCTCTAAGCCCTCTTCTGAGCTGGATGAGGGCCCAGAACCGGCCTCTAAGCCCTGGTCTGAGCTGGATGACAGCTTCATGGTGTCAGGAGGGCCCCTTGGTTCTAGACCGTGGCAGATGATTTAGAGAGCCTTAGAAGAGACTGGAACGCCTAGGCTACTTCTGCTCAGTTCTTGATCATTAAGAGCTTTACAATTAATAAATTATATTACAAAATTAATATAGTTATATCTAATTTATAATTTATAGATTACATATAGAAGTTATACCTATGTAATACAGCGTTATAAAATACAAATTATATTGCAAAGATAATTAAATTCTTGATAATGTTGAATCCCAGCTTTGGCTTTTCCTCTATTTCTGAGGGTTTTTTTTTTTTCTTTTGAGACGGAGTCTCACTCTCTCACCCAGGTTGGAGTGCAGTGGCATGATCTCGGCTCGCTGCAACCTCCGTCTCCTGGGTTGAAGCAATTCTCCTGCCTCAGCCTCCTGCATAGCTGGGATTACAGGTGCCCACCACCATGCCCTGATAATTTTTGAATTTTTAGTAGAAACGGGGTTTCACCATGTTGGCCAGGCTGGTCTCAAACTCCTGAGCTCAGGTGATCCGCCCACCTCCGCCTCCCAAATTGCTGGGATAATAAGCATAAACCACCATGCCCAGCCTATTTCTGAGGGTTTTTTAAAAGCTGAACTCACCCTACATGCCCCCTAGATCCACTTGGGGGGTGCTCAATTAAAGGAAGGCTTTTCTTTCCCTTGGGCCATCATTCTGGTGATAGCCCTTTTGAGGCTGAAGCTCCAGCACCTCTCATACTCTTGCATTGCATATGCCTCAATTGACTCTTTAAATGTTTCTCAGACTTTTTTTTTTAACTTCAAATTCTGGGGTACATGCGCAGAATATGTAGGTTTGTTACATAGGTATACAGGTGCCATGGTGGTTTGCTGCATTCATCCCCCTGTCATCTACATTAGGTATTTCTCCTAATGCTATCCCTCCCCTAGACCCCCACCCCCCTACAGGCCACGGTGTGTGATGTTCCCCTCCCTGTGCCCATGTGTTCTCATTGTTCAACACCAACTTATGAGTGAGAACATGCAGTGTTTGCTTTTCTGTTCTTGGGTCAATTTGCTGAGAATGATGGTTTTCAGCTTCATCCATGTCCCTGTAAAGGACATGAACTCATCGTTTGCTATGGCTGCATAGTATTCCATGGTGTATATGTGCCACAGTTTCTTTATCCAGTCTGTCATTGGTGGGCATTTGGGTTGGTTCACTAAATCCCAGTCTGGTGCTGGTAACTCTGAGGGAGGGATCCGTTGCTTTCTGCTGCCCCCAGTGTAACCTTTTAAGACTGTTTTCTGTAGTGTGGAAGTAGCTCCCAGCATGTGGGGTTAGACCTGCAGAACCTCAGACCCCAGGCTGCCAAGCCCAGCTTCCAGGTTTCAGTGGAACTGTGCCCAGCCTAAAGTGAGAGGGCCACTCAGGGCTTCTGCTCCAGTCTGGGGACAGCTTCCCCATCGAATTCCTTCTAGAAGGAACCTGGCCTCTTCCATCATAGCACTCCTGTCCCTGTGTGATGGTATTTCATGGTAGGGACTCAAATAATAGAACGAGAGTGCCCAGAGAATCGTGGCTTCCGGTCCAGTCGTTTTGGGGGAAAACAACAAAACAAAAACATGGGTGGGTTCTGTTTAAAAGTAGTTTGCTCGATATATTTTGTCACACTGTAGGTTCACTAAAATAGATTCTTATTTGTGATGGGTTGGGAGTAAGAAGTCAGTGTGATAGGCTTTTAATATGCTGTGCACGTTCACTTCATACTTGTTATTGAATTTTTCAATGAATGTCTTGGCTGACCGCTTATATGGGGCAATCTGCAGAGTAATATATGTATTGATTCTGGCAGAAGCGCCACCTGGTTGGGCAGAAATCTCCGAGTGATGCATAGTAGAAGTTTGTCCACACTCTACCCATGTCCCTAACCCAGTGTCTTCTTGACAGAGTAAAATTGGGGAACCTTTCGGAATTTCTCACCACATCGTTCTATACATATCTGACCTTCCTGGATCCAGACTGTGATGAGAAGTTGTTTGACTATGACAGTGAAGGGACTTTTAGTCCCGATAGTGATTCAGATTTGGGAGGATATCGGGAAGACACCTGTAATCAAGGTACGGCTTGGAATGCTTTTGTGGACAGTTTGCTAAATTTATTTAAACTTTAGCATTGTGATAAAATTGCCCTAAGACTCAAATACAATTATAATTAAAAACAAGGAAAAACAAAACAAAAAAGAGGCTTCTGAAACTTCCATATATTAAAATGAATAAAATGCCAGTTTAAAAACCTAAAATGCAAATGATGTCCTTAAAAGTGGGTCATTTTTAAAACTAGAAGAACAAAGGGGGGACTTTCGGGAATGGGGACTTTTTTTTCTTTTTCCTTTTTTTCTTCTTCTCTTTTTTTTTTTTTGTGGTTGTTGTTGTTGTTGTTTGTTTTTGAGACAGAGTCTCACTCTGTTGCCCAGGCTGGAATGCAGTGGCATGATCATAGCTCACTGCCGCCTCGACCTCCTGGGTGAGCTCAAGTGATCCTTCCACCTCAGCCTCCCAACTGGCTAAGACTATACACCTACAGGGAAGCACCACCACACCCAGCTAATTGTTTTGTATTTTATACAGATGGGGTCTCCTTATATTGTCCTCGCTGGTCTTGAACTCCTGGGCTCAGTTGATCAGCCTGCCTCAGCCTCCCAAAGTGCTGGGATTACAGGCATGAGCCACTGTGGCTGGCCAGGAATGGGGACTTTGCACAGAATACATTCTGAAGACAAAAAACATACAGCTTGAATTTTCAAAGGAGTGGTAGAGTGATCTAGGTTTGTTTGGATATGAGTGATGAAACCCTATGTATATAACATTTCTCAGTCTGAACAAGGTTTTGGGGTGATCTGTTTTTCACTTTTAGATAGTAGTTGGAATTAGGGCTGGGAGTTCCATAAGGCTTAGCTCACTCATGACAAATTTAAAAGCCCCGATTTCGGCTGCTATCCTTCAGGTTGTCTTACATATTACTGAGTTTATCTTGGGAGGATGAAATATAAACACTACCTTGACCTGAAGTTGTTGTTGTTTTTTTTTTTTCTTGGGATGAAGTTTCTCCAAACGATACATTTCTACATGTATATATTATCTCTGTAAATCTCTTCTTACTCTTCGGGGGTGAGTGGGAGTGCAAATATTGATAACTCAGTGTCGTCGTCTGCTAAGCCTACTCAGTGCCACTTGCTACCCACGGTCACTATTGTGCAGTCATATTTCTGCAGCTTGGTTTCATTGGCTCTTTTTCTTGCTTGTCCAATTACAGAAAGCCAAGACGAACTTGACCAGTATATCAACCACCTTCTGCAGAGCACATCCTTGAGGTGCTATCTGCCTCCTCTTCGTAAGAACACAGAAGACCGCCATGTCTTCAGTGCTATCCACTCCACGCGGGACATACTTTCTGTGATGGCAAAAGCAAAGGGTTTGGAAGTTCCATGTATGTTATTAACTCTTTTCTGCCTGTTAAAATACCTCTTTTATCAAAGTAATGCAGAGACATAATTTAAAAGCCAAAGAATCCTAGAAGACAACAAAATGCCCCCACCACCACCAGTGTCCTTCTACTTAGAGGTAACCACTTTCAACTCTTTCAGCTCTTTCTTCTGGTACATGCATATCTCCATATTTCACAGATAATGTGAGGATACTTCTGTCTTCGCATGCATTGACTTGATTCGGTACCTATTGACTTTCTATTATGTGAGTAAGGATCTGGCTGTCTAAAATCGCCACTCCTCTGCTTCACTTCCCCTCACCCATCAAGGGGTTAAAGTTTAGTTCAATCAGTATTCACTCTTTATCTCATTGTATTTATGCAAATATTGACTTGCAACTGAGCATTATATTATACTCTGATTATATGCCCATTTTTACTCTTTGTTTTCTTGTAAGGTAAAGTTACCCTAGCTTTTCATTTGCTTTGCTTTCTTACTATATCTTTCCAGTGGCCTCCCAATACAAATTTCCACAGGCTCAGCCGTATCAGTGAATCTCTCAATTCCACTGCCTTTCTTAGAGGCCATGAGACTCCTTCTCTCTGGGCTGACTGTGATCTAGGCCTGTTGCGTATCTGTCATCCTGGGAATTTCCCTGGTTTGTCTCTTTAGTTGGATTCCATAGTTCCTGAATCTGGTGTGTTCTCCTTTCTCAATGTATTCTTCTGTTTTGGTGTAGCACATTCTAGAAAGTTTCAGTAGGTTTAAAAAAAAAGGGTGCAGTGGAAGAGGGTACGATGGTGACAGCTCTCAACTTGCTTGTTTTTGAACTACACTGCCCACTGCCCGCCTTCTGGCTTAGTTGCCTTCCATGTCTGAGGTGCTTTTTACCCTGGGATCTTCCCTAGAGAGTTCCTTGGCTTGTCTCCTGGGATGGTTCTCCTGTGTTCTGTATCTCAACTCTTCTTTCTTGGTTCACCCTTATTTTGATAGAGGACATGCAGTAGTTTCCTGAGAAACAGTGCACGCTGGGCAAAATTGTTGAAACCTTGCAATTTAAAAAATGTCTACGAATGTTCCAGACCCATTTGAGAGTTTGGCTGGGTATAGAACTCTAGATTGAAAATAAATGTTTTTGGCCAGGTGTGATGGCTCAGCACTTTGGGAGGCTGAAGTGGGCAGATCACCTGAGGTCAGGAGTTCAAGACCAGCCTGGTCAACATGGTGAAGCACTGTCCCTACTAAAAATATAAAAGTGAGCCAGGTGTGGTGGCCTGCACCTGTAATCCCAGCCACTCCAAAGGTTGAGGCAGGAGAATTGCTTGAACCCAGAAGGCAGAGGTTGTAGTGAGCTGAGATTGTGCCACTGCACTCTAGCCTGGGCAACAGAGCAAGACTCTATCTCAAAAAAAAAAAAAGAAAGAAAATACATTTCTTTTTTCAGATTTTTGAAAGTACTATTTCATTGTCTTCCTGCTATCAGTGTATCAGTGTTGCTATTGAGAAATCTAAACCCGGCCAGACACAGTGGCTCATGCCTATAATCTGAGTACTCTGGGAAGCTGAGGCAGGATGATTGCTTGAGTCCAGGAATTTGAGACCAGCCTGGGCAACATGGTGAGACCCTGCCTCTACAAAAAATAGAAAAAATAGCCAGGCATGGTGACACATGCCTGTAGTCCCAGCTACTTGGGAGTCTGAGGCAGGAGGATCACTTGAGCTTAGGGAGGTTGAGGCTGCAATGAGCTGTGATCACACCACTGCACTCCAGCCTGAGTAACAGAACAAGACGCTGTCTCAAAAAAGAAAAAAAAAAAAAAAAAAAAAAAGTCTAGCCTAGCATTGCCATAAAGAAATACCTAAAGCTAGGTAATTTATAAAGAAAAGCGGTTTAACTGGCCCAAGGTTCTGTAGGCTGTACAGGAAGCATGATGCTGGCATCTACTCAGCTTCCAGGGAGGCCTCAGGAAGCTTCCAATCATGGTGGAAGACAAAGGGGGATCAGACACTTGACATGGCGACAGTAGGAACAAAAGAGAGAGTGGCAGGGGAGGGGCCACACTCTTTTAAACAACCAGACCTCAGATATCTTGTGAACTCAGAGTGAGAGCTCACTTATCACCAAGGGGATGGCCCAAGCCATTCACGAGGGACCCACCCCCATGATACAGACACCTCCCACTGGGCCCCATCTCCAAGACTGGGGATTACATTTCAACATGAGATTTGAGTGGGACATCCAAACCATACCGGAAATCTAAACCCATTCTGGTTTTTTCTTTTTCTTTTTCTTTTTTTTTTTTTTTTTTTTTTGAGACAAGAGTATCATATCACTCTGTCGCCCAGGCTAGAGTATAGTGTTGTGATCTCAGTTCACTGCACCTTCTGCCTCCCAGGTTCAAGCAGTTTTCCTGCCTCAGCCTCCCAAGTAGCTGGGATTACAGGCGTCTACCACCACACCCAGCTAATTTTTGTATTTTTTGTAGAGACGGGGTTTCGCCGTTTTGGCCAGACTGGTCTTGAACCCCTGACCTCAGGCGATCTGCCCTCCTGGGCCTCTCAAAGTGCTGGGATTACAGATGTGAGCCACCACACACAGCTCATTCTGATTTTTGATACTTCAAAATCAGAATGAGCTATTTTTCTCTTTGAAAGTGTTTAGGATCTTCTCTGCACCCAGCTTCTGACATTTCAATGCTACACCTTAATCTCTAGCTGGGTGTGTTTTCATTCATTGTATTGGATACACAGTAGGCCTTTCCAATCTGGAAATGTATGTTCTCCAGTCCTGTACTGTTTTCCTGAAAAGTTTCTCGACTCATTTCCTTCCCTGCATTTTTTCTGTTCTCTCTTTCCACTGTTTCTGTGATTCCAAAGTTGACTTCCTGGAGAAGACTCTATCTTTCCTCTCTGTTTTCCATTTCTCTGTCTGTCCCGAGAGCCAGTGTCTCAACTTTTTGTTCTACTCCCTCAATTGAGCCACTTTTGCTATCATGTTTTAAATCTTTGTTCCCCAATTTGCATCTGTTTTTGTTTCATGTTTACAATATAATTTCTTGGCCAGACGCAGTGGCTCATGCCTATAATCCCAGCACTTTGGGAGGCTGAGACAGGCAAATCGCTTGAGTCCAAGAGCTTCAGACCAGCCTGGGCAACATAGCAAGGCACTGTGTCAACAACAAAAAAAAATTAGCCGGGCATGGTGGTGCATGCCTGTGATCCCAGGTACTTGGGAGGCTGAGGTGGAAGGATCGAATGAGTCCGGGAGGTTGAGGCTGCTATGAACCATTGTCATGTCAGCGCACTCCAGCCTGGGTGACAGAGCGAGATTCTGTCTCAAAAAGATAATAAAAATACAATATAATTTCTTTTTATGAGAGAGAGAGAAAAAAAAAGGGGGGTCTTTCTCTGTCACCCAGGCTCAAGTGTAGTGGTGCAATTACAACTTACTGCAGCCTTCACCTCCCAGGTCCAAGCGATCCTCCTACCTCAACCTCCCAAGTAGCTGGGACCACAAGTGCGTGCCACCACACCCGGCTAATTTTTATTTTTATTTTCGTAGAGACAGGGTTTTGCCATGTTACCCAGGCTAGTCTCAGAATTTGGCCTCAAACAATCTGCCTGCCTTGGCTTCCCAAAGTGCAGGGATTACAGGCATGAGCCACCGTGCCTGCCAATTTGTTAATACTCTAAGAATATTAATGGCAGACCTTTTTGTTTTGGTTTGTATTTACCCTTTTTTTCTCTTGGAATGTTTTCCATTCCCCCAAGTCACTTTTTCTGGTTTGCTTAGGTTTCTGTCTTCCACATGAGAGTCCTTCTTCCAGTGCCCTGCTGCTCCTCGCTCACCTGGTCATGCATGAGAATCTCCAAGCCCATGAGTGAGGCTTGTTGACTCAGAGTTATTTTATTTCCCAGAGATACTCTACAATCTCCAAGTGGATTTCCTGTTTCAAGGGCTAGGGTCTAGTTGCCTGGAGCTATGTAGTTACTTATAATTCCCTTAAGGAATGTATCCAGGCCTTCAGATGTGCTAGTCAGCAGCCCCCTCTCTTCAAGCCCCTTCCTCTTCTACCCTCTCTGAGAGACCCTCCAGCCTTCTGTCAGAGTGAGTGAGGTGGTCATCAAGCTGGGTGTCGTTGAAGAGGGTGTCCAGGCGGCTCTACTGCTTCTCAAACAGCTTCTTCCCAGCCCTCCTTGTTTTGGACACCCCTTCTAGACTTCAGTTCCAGAACCACGTGGTGCAGCAGGCTCCAGAGACTTCTGAGGACCCTCGGGTATAACTGACAAGCTCTCGGATTTCTCCACTGCAGACTTGGGAACTGTGGCCTTGTATCAGCTAAATCACCTATCTTTCATCCATCAGCTTTCCCACTTCTGAATTCTGTTTCTGTCATCTTCTCTGTTGCTTTTCTTCATTCTCAAAGATTTGTCTTTTTTTAAATATATATACAGTCATGCACCACATAACAATGTTTTGGTCAATGGCAGACCGTATATATGGTGGTGGTCTTCTAAGATTATAATGGAGCTGAAACCTTTCTGTCACCTTGTGACATCATAGCTGTAGTGATGTTGTAGCACAATGCACTGCTCACATGTCTGTGGCAATGCCAGTATCAACAAACCTCCTGCACTGCCTGTCGTATAAGTTAAACACATATAATTATGTATAGCACATAGTACTTGATAATGACAATACATAACTACGTTGCTGGTTTGTGTATGTACTATACTATACTTTTATCATTATTTTAGAGTATACTCCTCTACTTATTAAAAAAAGTTAACTGTAAAACAGCCACAGATAGGTTCTTCATGAGGGATTATAGGAGAAGGCATTGTTATCTTAGGAGATGACAGCTCCATGTATGTTACTGCCCCTGAAGACCTTCCAATGGGACAAGCTGTGGAGGTGAAAGACAGTGAGATTGATGATCCTGGCCCTATATAGGCCTAGGCTAATGTGTGCGTTTGTGTCTTTTTTTTTTTTTTTTTTTTTTTTTTTCCCCTGAGACAGAGTCTCACTCTCACTCGGGCTGGAGTGCAGTGGCACAATCTTGGCTCACTGCAACCTCCGCCTCCTGGGTTGAAGCGATTCTCCTGCCTCAGCCTTCCAAGTAGCTGTGACTACAGGCACCTGCCATCACACCCAGCTAATTTTTTGTATTTTTAGTAGAGATGGGGTTTCACCATGTTAGCCAAGATGGTCTCGATCTCCTGACCTTGAGATCTACCCGCCTCAGCCTCCCAAAGTGCTGGGATTACAGGCGTGAGGCGCTGCACCTGGCCTGTGTCTTCATTTTTTCAAAAAAGTTTAAAAAGTAAAATAAATAAATGAAAAAATAGAACAAAGCTTATAGAATAAGGATATAAAGAAAGAAAATATCTTTGTACAGCCATACAATCTGTTTTAAGCTGTTATTACAGAAGAGCCAAATTTTTAAAAATTTAAAATTTAAAATTTAAAAATTTAAAAAATTTAAAAATTTGATTAAAAAGTTACAGTAAGTTGAGATTAATTTATTAAAGAAAGAAGCCGGGCGCAGTGGCTCAAGCCTGTAATCCCAGCACTTTGGGAGGCCGAGGCGGGTGGATCACGAGGTCGAGAGATCAAGACCATCCTGGTCAACAAGGTGAAACCCCGTCTCTACTAAAAACACACAAAAAATTAGCTGGGCATGGTGGCTCGTGCCTGTAATCCCAGCTACTCAGGAGGCTGAGGCAGGAGAATTGCCTGAACCCAGGAGGCGGAGGTTGCGGTGAGCCGAGATCGCGCCATTGCACTCCAGCCTGGGTAACAAGAGCGAAACTCCGTCTCAAAAAAATAAAAAAATAAAAATAAAAAAATAAAAAATAAAGAAAATGCTGTGATGAATTCAGTGCAGCTTGAGTGTAGAGTCTTTATGAAGTCTACAGCAGTGTAGAGTCCTGCCCTAGGCCTTTACATTCACTCACCACTCACCCAGAGCAAACTTCCAGCCCTGCAAGCTTCATTCATGGCAAGGGCCCTATGGAGATAAACCATTTTTCATCTTATAAACCACATTTTTTTTTAATCAGGGTTTTTGCTCTGTCACCCAGGCTGGAGTTCAGTGGCACAATCAGGGCTTACTACAGCCTCAACCTCCTGGGCTCAAGCAATCCTTCTGCTTTAGCCCCCACTACCAGTAGCTGGGACTACAGCCATGCGCCAACACACCAAGCTCATTTTTTTTTTTTTTTAATTTTAGTAGAGATGAGGTCTCACTATGTTGCCTAGGCCTGTCTTGAACTCCTGAGCTCAAGCAGTCTTGTCACTTCAGCCTCCCAAAGTGCTGGGATTACAGGCATGAGCCACCATGCCTGGCCTATACCGTATTTCTGTCGTACCTTTTCTATGTTTAGACACACAAATACTTACCATTGTATTAGAATTACCAACCGTATTGCATATAGGAACATACATGCAGATTTGTAGCCTAGGAGCAATCGCCTTTATGATCCAACCTAGGTGTGTAGTAGGTTGCACCATCTAGACTTCTGTAAGTACACTCTGTAATGTTCATGCAGCGAGGAAATTGCTTAACAACATATTTCTCAGAACGTATCCCTGTCATTAAACAACACATAACTGTGTATATTTTCTGTAATGTTAGTGGAGGGTTGGAAGGAAGTAAAATGACAGTGTGTATTCAATTTACCAGTATAACCTGGAGGTCTATAAGTGCCGTTTAAATATGCATCATGTTTACCTTGAAAACTTCCTATTCTCCTGAGATAGCATGCTATAGCCTGGAAGACAGAAAGGGCTTAATGAATAAATATCAATAATGATCATATCCAGAGGTGGTTGAAAAACAAGCCCTACCACCCAGCAGTGGCGGAGTAAGATACATACTGGACCGGAAGCCCAGACACCTTGATTATGGGAGCCCCAGTGACCTTAGACAAATGGTCTACGCTCTCTGGGTCTCTCAGTTTCCTCATCTGAAAGAAAAAGAGTTGAGGCGCAATTACTTCTGAGCCTCTTTCCAGTCCTAGGACATTGTATCATTTTCCCTGAATTCCAGAAGGGAAAAGCAAAATCCAATTATCAAAGCAAGATCTATTTCCTGCTCACTTCTTTTTCCCAGATTTAGCACATGAGGTGGCTACATGATAAATTCTTACTGAAACTAAATAAGTGATCTTTCCTTTGGTCGGTTTGTGTTAAATAAGGAGTAGCCACCATACTTCTCAAAAGAAGTATTGGCCAGGTGCAGTGGCTCACGCCTGTAATCCCAACACTTTGAGAAGCCAATGTGGGTGGATCACCTGAGGTCAGGAGTTCAAGACCAGCCTGACCAACATGGCGAAACCCCACCTCTATTAAAAATATAAAAATTAGGCCAGGCATGGTGGTGCATGCCTGTAATCCCAGCACTTTGGGAGTCTGAGGCAGGCGGACCACCTGAGGTCGGGAGTTTGAGACCAGCCTGACCAACATAGAGAAACCTCATCTCTACTAAAAATACAAAATTAGCCGGGCGTGGTGGCACATGCCTGTAGTCCCAGCTACTCAGGAGCCTAAGGCAGGAGAATCACTTGAACCTGGGAGGCAGAGGTTGCAGTGAGTTGAGATCACGCCACTGCACTCCAGCCTGGGTGACAGAGCAAGACTCCATCTCAAAAAACAAAACAAAACAAAAAAGTATTTTATCGTTCTTCCTCCTCAGAACTCTTTATTTTGTTTTCCAGTTGTTCCCATGACTTTACCGACTAAAGTTCTAAGTGCCCACCGTAAATCACTGAATCTTGTCGATTCTCCTCAGCCACTGCTAGGAAAGGTAAAGTATATGGAATAGCTTTTTGAAAAAGTATGGTGTCCTGCAATGCGGGATTAGTCCCCCAACTCTTTCAAATGGTTCAGCTCAAAAGAAAGAAACAGCCTATTGTTACCTGGGACCTTTAGGTTTAGAACCTCTGGGCTTGGATATGAACTCAATCACTTCATTGTCTGGAATCTGACTTGCATCAATATGTACATTAAATTTGATGCAAACCTTTACGTTTTGCCTGTAGGAAAAAAAGGCTACTGCCTCACTGCCTTCTCATCAGAGTCTATGTAGTCACTAGAGGAAATCCCTCACTACCTAGCCCCCCCTGTGTAGCCAAGCTGTGAAACAGGGTATAGGATTCTTTGTTCCTAATGGCCTTTTTAAAATTTTTCTTAGACAGGGTCTCGCTCTGTCACCCAGGATAGAGTTCAGTGGTGTGATCATAGCTCACTGCAGCCTCAACCTCCAGGCTCAGGTACTCCTCCCACCTCAGCCTCCCAAATAGCTGGGAATGCCAGCGTGCACCACCATGCCCAGCTAATTTTTGTATTTTTTGTAGAGACAGGGTTTCACCATGTTGCCCACACTGGTCTGGAATCCTGGGCTCAAGGAATCCTCTTGCCTTAGCCTCCCAAAGTGCTGGGATTACAGGCGTGAACCTCTGCGCCCAGCCCCTAATGCTCTTTATGTAAGAAAAACGAGTAAAAGATTCTTTAGGATACTGCAGGAAAAAGATGAACATCTAAAAAATTAAAAATTAAGATTCTTCAGGAGAATAAAATCTCAGGGTGTTCCATGGATTCCCAGTTTATTTTATCCAGTACTCTTCCCTGATTCTACCCCACACAAATAGACTCAGTGCCTGTTGGAGAAGATTTTACCCCGATTTCAATTTTAGGTTGTTTAAAACATACTTTTTCTGTTTGTTTTGCTTCCAAATAACTATACTATATATGCAGCACGGTGCAGAAAGCAGGAACAGAGGAGCGACAGGTCACCTCCAACCCCTCCTTAGCTGTTGTGAGGGCTTTTCAGCTCCATCTAGAAAGCCAGCTTGACACCAGGCAGGTTAACAAGAAAAAGCATTACAAAGGTGATTTGTTTTCTGGGTACATGGGGATCTTCACAAGAGCTTGAGGTCTGAAGAAGTGGTCCAAGCAAGATGCTTTCATAGTTTTTAAACAAAGAGTGATAAATTTGAGAAGCTAGACAGGACAAGAAAAAATCTGGCTAGAGGCAGTTACTAGGAGATCCATGGGGGCGTGTAGAACTAGTGGAAGATAAGGGTTCCTTGGGTAAGTATGTTTATACAGGTCCATTGCCACCCACCCCCAGTTCCCAGGCTTTAGTGATATGGGCTATTTTCGTGCCCTGGGAGTGCCCCCCTCCCAAAGGCATCTTTATGGCTTGCTGCCTGCAAAAAGAGACAGGTCAGCTACCCCTTTCTGAAACTACAATTTTTCCAACGTTTTCAACTCAAAATAGTCAATATACCAACTTGGCATATTTGGGGATAGCATATCCTTCACACTTTCAGCTCAGTGAATGATCACTGAACCAGTATACCTAGATCAGTGACCACCTTCTGTGACCCCCTCCCATCTCTTTATCCTTTTCTAGTCCAGAGATAACTGCCATCATGATTCCTAACACCGGAGGTTAGTTTTGCTTGTCTGTGAACCTTCCATAAATAAAACTCACATATATTTTAACCAGTTCAGTCCAGTCTCTTGCAGATGTTGACCAGCATGGTGATCCACTGATCAAAAATCATAAAAGCCTATAAATAAAAAGGTACAAAAAAGTTATTGAAAACTGGAGCACAGCACAGCGATAGAGATCCAAGACCAGATTGGCGTTTCACTTCTTGATCTTCCAAAAGTTCCATGCCTAGCCCATCTCCCTGCTTTTTGGCTCTTGTATGAGCAGGTTCCTGAAAGTGACTTCCAGTGGCCCAGAGATGACCATGGTGACGTGGACTGTGAGAAGCTGGTTGAGCAGCTGAAAGATTGTTCGAACCTACAGGACCAAGCAGACATTCTGTACATTCTTTATGTCATCAAGTACGTGTCTTATAAACAACAGAAATGTATTTCTTACAGTTCCAGAGGCTGGGAAGTTCAAACTCAAGGCCAAATTGATGTCTGGGAGGGCCTGCTTTCTCATAGATGGCATCTTCTCATTGCGTCCTCACATGGGTGGAAGGGGCGAGTGAGCTCTCGGGAGTTGTTTATATAAGGGCACTCATCTCATTCAGGAGGGCTCTGTCCCATGACCTGATGACCTCCCAATGTCTCCTAATGTCATCATTTTGGGGGTTAAGATTTCAACATAGGAATTGGGTGGAAACAAACACTCAAGCCATAGCAGTAAGCTGATGGTCTTTACCGGGTTGAGCTTTCCCTGTTTTCTTTAATTTTTTCCCTAGTATTCTTGGCCTTCTAGCCAGTCCAGGTCATGATTATATTCACCCCAGTTACCCAGGATCACCAGAAATGAGACTTCTATCCCCTTCTCTGCCTACTGATGCTGGTCCCCCAGGATGAGAAGGCTGCGTGAGGCCAGGAGGCCACAATCTCCTGATGTCAGGCTTCTGTTTCAAAGGACGTAGGGAAGCTTTGGTCAGATGTAACCCTCTCAGTGAGACTTGGGCACTGGGAGAGCCCAAGCACTTTGCAAAATGCACAGTGATCTGTTCCTCTCCCAGTCTTTAAACATTCTGGACCATATTTCTGGGTTTTTCTACCTCTTGGCAGGGGTCCCAGCTGGGACACAAATCTCTCTGGACAGCACGGGGTCACCGTTCAAAACCTTCTCAGCGAGCTCTATGGGAAAGCTGGCTTGAACCAGGAGTGGGGTCTGATTCGCTACATCTCAGGCCTGCTCAGGAAGAAAGTGGAGGTCCTGGCCGAGGTCAGTGAGACTATGTGCCGGCCCATGTGTGCTCATTAGCTCATGCCCCCTTCCTCTTCCACTTCCAGTCTTCCAGTTACACCTCTTACTTGTGAAGGAGCCCCATTCTCTCTTTTTTTTCTCTGAGATGGAGTCTCGCTCCATGCCCAGGCTGGAGTGCAATGGTGTGATCTCGGTTCACTGCAACCTCTGCCTCCCGGGTTCAAGCAATTCTCTTGCCTCAGCCTCCCAAACAGCTGGGACTATAGGCATGTGCCACCACACCCAGCTAATTTTTTATATTTTTAGTAGAGACGGGGTTTCACCCGTGTTAGCCAGCATGGTCTCCATCTCCTGACCTTGTGATCCACCCACCTCAACCCACCCAAGTGCTGGGATTACAGGCATAAGCCACCACACCCGGCCTAGAGCCCCATTGTTTAACCTACAGGTAGAGCAGGCCCTGCTCTCCTACCTGCTCACTGCCCCAGGAAGGTGAGTAGAGAGAAGGAAATGAAAGTGGATTTGTTTTGTTCTTTCTTAGCTACAGAAAAAGGCTTGCCAGGAAATCAAACGAGAGTGCTCTGTGGCCTGGCAGCCTCTTAGAGCTCTCTTTTTTCACACATCCACAGTACGGTGATCATTAATATTTATAACACCAAAGCCAGGCAAAATCCAGAGCCTCTTTCTAAGAAGCTCGAGTTCAGTCGTGATGCTAAGATGATGGCATTTATTAGATGTGAATAATGGGGAAACGGGTAATTTCAGAATTGAATATGGTTATTAACTCTTACCATCAGTATCTTAGGACTCATCCCTGTCTCACTGAATAGCAGGGAGTCTAGTGTGTTTGCTACAGTGGATGGGCATTCATCGCCCACTGACGGGCCCTGCAGAGCCAGGCCTGGGCCACACATTGGAGACAGAGCCCACAGACACCCAGCCCTGACTGGGTTGCTTAGTCTGGGGTCTAGGTATGAATTTTTCAAATCAAGGGCAACGTGGGTCATAAAGTTTGTAAAGGTAAATGTACAATCTGATCGGCAGTGCTTCGCCCCACCCCCCATCATCTTTGCAAGTCTCTCTCGTGCCCTGTTTCTCACCCTGTCTCCTAACTGCGCAGGCCTGCACGGACCTGCTATCACACCAGAAGCAGCTCACCGTGGGCCTGCCACCCGAGCCCCGGGAGAAGATCATCTCTGCGTAAGTCCTCAGCCCTGGGGACCTCAGGTTTTTTGGGGGAGCTGCGGGGAAAACAGTGCTTCCCAGTGTTCAGAGGAGGGGCTTTTTAAAGACACTCTGTCATGGCTGGGCATGGTGGCTCACACCTGTAATCTCAGTACTTTGTGAGGCCGAGGTGGGCAGATCACAAGGTCAGGAGTTCAAGACCAGCCTGGTCAACATGGTGAAACTCCATCTGTACTAAAAATACAAAAATTAGCTGGGTGTGGTGGCAGACGCCTGTAATTCCAGCTACTCAGGAAGCTGAGGCAGGAGAATCACCTGAACGTGGGAGGTAGGGGTTGCAGTGAGCTGAGATTGTGGCACTGCACTCCAGTCTCGGCGACAGAGCAAAACTGTCTCCAAAAAAAGACACTCTGTCACATGGGTGCATCTAGCACAGAAAATAAGGGTGTTCCATGGAGGGCGAGGAGGCACTGCCTCAAGACACCTCATCATGTTTATGGGACAATGCTCCTTCCTAGGCCCCTTCCCCCGGAGGAGCTCACAAAACTCATCTACGAGGCCAGCGGGCAGGACATCAGCATCGCCGTCCTCACACAGGTCAGGGGCTGGTATGGGAGGGGATGAGCCACAGCCTTCCTGAGAGTGGAAGGGACCCCTCAGCCACCCACTGGTCTCTGAAACCCGATCACCATGTGTGTCTGCGTCAGGAGATTGTGGTTTACCTGGCCATGTATGTGAGAGCACAGCCCAGCCTCTTTGTGGAGATGCTGAGACTCCGGATTGGACTGATCATTCAGGTGATGGCCACAGAGCTGGCACGGAGCCTGAACTGCTCAGGTGAGAGGCCCGCAGCTCGTGCAGCTCCCGACATACCTCACCCCGGCCACCTAGCCATCGCCTCCGTGCTCACGGGAAGCCCTGCTTAGGTTATCTTGAACCTAGCATCCAAGCCTGTGGGCAAGCTCAGGCCTGACCAGGTTCTCTCATTTAGATGGAACTCCCATCCACGTGACATGGAGCTAAAGTTCCTAAGTCAGGGAGAATGGGGCCCTGGTGACATTTACCATTAGAGCCTCAAAGGCGATGCAGAATCTTTTGCCCTGTAACTGACATCTAAGCTCCTTCCTGGATGCCCTTGCTGGGAGATGTCACCCCCATTTCATAACACCTTCACTGGGAGAAACCCTACCAATTTGAATATAAAAATCCATCATGAGGCATCCAACGTGGGGGATCATACATTCTTAGACACAAAATCTTGTGTCTAAGAATGAAACAGGTAGATGATTTAAGCAGCAGCATTCAGAATCCCCATGGAACAGTGCATTTCAGCTCCAAATAGCGAGGTTCTCCTGAAAGGGGGACCTGCCACGGCATCCAGTGTCACTTCCCTCCCCACCCGGGTCCACCTGACCCTACCTTCAGCCACCAGCCCTGTGTCTGGGACACTTACAAGACATTTGTTTTTAGGAGAAGAAGCTTCTGAAAGTTTAATGAACCTCAGCCCTTTCGATATGAAAAATCTCCTGCACCATATTCTAAGTGGGAAAGAGTTTGGTGTTGAAAGAAGCGGTAAGTCCCATGCTCCTATTACCTCTTCAGGGAGCTGCCCCCTTTACATGCCAAAGACATCAGAACCAGCGCTGGGGGGCATAGGGAATGCGGGAAGGAAAGGCTCCTACCTGAAGGAGAGGGACAGAGTCCTTGGCTCCAGTTTCCTGCCTTGGGGGCTTTGGGGGCTTTGGGACTCACTGCGGTGTGCTGGGCGAGCTTTTCTTCCCCAGGTTGGCATGACACGTGGGTGTGGTATGCTGCCTCCTGTAGCCATAAGCACCTGGTACCATCACTTGTGTAAAAGTGTGGGGGACCCCGGGTGCCAAGATGAAAGGGCTGTCCTTTCAAACCACCTGAGTGTCCTGGCCTTTGGTTTGGGTGAAAACATTCTCGACCCAGCCTCACATCACCCTCCATAGGGCAAGGAGGGGACCCCTCTGTGACCTCACAGCATGCTTGAGCTAATGTAGTTTGCTTTGTCCTGCCTCACTCACTCTGTTTGTATCTGAACCAGAACCCTGCTTGCAGTGCTGGAAAACATAATCGCCCAAGTCCTGGCATGATTCTTGTTCTCAAATGTTCCCTAATTATAATTGAAGCAATTATCATTTCTACTTGTCATAAAAAAGCTAAATGATTTGCAGGCACGTTGGTGAATTTATTTCATTATGCCAAAGAAATGAGCTATGGGTTATCATTCCATTTATTTAATAAGAAGGACATTGGGTACTTTGTAGGTTTCCTGGGCATATGCCGGCCGCAAACAAAGACGGCATCGAGCAATCAGATGTGTTTTGGTGGTTTTCCTCCTTTCCCGAAGGAGGGGTGCTCAAAATGCTTCTGCAACAGTAATTTCCAGTTCTTTCCAAGGCAGAGTCCTTGAAATGGTAATGTACAAGATAAATATTTAATGTGTTCTGCTCATCATTACAGTATTCATAGCTTGACACAGATAATTACTAAAAATTTGTCATTAGATGTACAGCTACAGATGCTATGAAACTAGGAACTGAGTCATGTCATTTGAAAGCCATAAATATGTCTGATTGCAAGCAAGAACAGAAGACATGCTGTCTTTTTAACATATAACATCATTTGTTAGCTGTCTTTTGTAATTGTTCGATTTTTGTAAATTAGGAAGCCCAAATAGGCTTAGAATGTTGATTAAATCCTGAAATTAAGAAGATTAATGTTTCCAGCAAACACCCACCCTGGACAGGCCCTCTTGTAGCTTCTAGACCCTTCTCGTTCTGTTTTCCTGGATCCTTCCTTCCTCTCCAGCTCATCACTGAGCCTCCTCTGTGGGCTCCTGCCTCTCTGCTATTTTTTAAATGTTGGTGTCCCCAGGTTCCTTATTTGTCACTACTCCCCATGGACAGTGCCCTCTACTCCCAGTGGGGTCCAGTAGGGTCAGGTGGGATGGTGAGGCTTGCAAGGGATGCTGCCCTAGGAGGTGACCTTTGAGCTGGGCCTGGCTTGCTGGCCCAGGCAGATACTCAGTGTGGCGCGGGTGGCCGGGAGTGTTGGGGGAGGTGGGGCTCCACTGGTAGAGTTTCAGGTGATGCTGGGAGGACTGTTTGGGCTTTGTCCTGAAGACAGCTAGACCTAGGGGGCTTTGGAGTGGGCATCGATCCGATCACACTTGCCTTTTAGAATGATTGCTGTGACCACAGCACAGAGGCCAGGCTGGTGGGCGGTGGGGCTGGGGACAAGTTTGAGTCCCGAGGCTGGTGCAATAGGTCAGAAGTGAGAGGTGGTAGCCTGGTGCTGTGCGTCGGTGGCCTCCAGTTGCCTCCCTCTCTAGCCCCTGGCAGCCTGGCTTTCCAAGCACTTCCCCCTCCAGTCTGAGGCTCTCCTCTGGCTGCCACCATCATTTCATTTGGCGCCTCGCCCTCAGGCCTGGGCCTGGGCTCTCCTCCAGGCACCACTGCGGCACTGGATTCTCCTGCAGTCACACCTGCACCTGGTGCCCAGACAGGGCCTGGCACCAGGAGGCCCTTCTGGATCACCCAACCCACGGCCACAGCTGCCGAGGGTGCCAGCCCCTTGGGGGCCCACAGAAATTTTGTCATTTCCTGGGGACATTCTGAGAGTCACACAGGACTGGGACAGAGCCCAGCAAGGCCCATGTGGGTCCTACATGTTAGTCATGACGAACTCTTTAGAAAAATATTAATACAAACAGGATTAGGTATATTGTTGAGCAGTCCTCACTTATCAGATCAAACTCCATGCTGTCATGAAACATGATGTGACAGAAATTAATGCCAGGGAGAGACATTCCGACGTAAGTGCAATAAGGCAGGTCACAGAACCATACCTATGTCCACAGAATGTATGTATCCATCTCATATGTTTCTGTATCTATACATATGTATGTGATGATTCTGTCTTATTAAAAACATACAGTCATAGGGAAAAAAACTGGAAAGATAACTAAAATATCAAGCGATGTTAATTCCAGCTTCTGTAGTTCATTGGTCTCAGTCTTCTACAAGGAAGGTGTGCAGTGGTATTTGTTAAATTTTTATTTATGTATTTATTTGTAATAAATGTAGACACGAGGTCTCACCATGTTGCCCAGGCTGGTCTTGAACTCCTAGGCTCAAGCAGTCTTCCCACCTCAGCCTCCCAAAGTGCTGGGATTACAGGCATGAGCCACTATGCCTGGCTTCAGGTATGTTCTTTGAGAATAATTTTTTACTTATCCAAAAGCAAGGCTGGGCACAGAAGTTCATGCCTGTAATCCCAGCACTTTGGGAGGTTGAGGGAGGCAGATCGCTTGAGCCCAAGAGCTCAAGACTAGCGTGGGCAACATGGCAAAACCCCGTCTTCACAAAACATACAAAAATGAGCCAGGGGTGGTGGCGCATGCCAGTGGCCCTAGCTACTTGGGAGGCTCAAGCGGAAGGATCGCTTCAGCCTAGGAGAAGTTTGCAGTGAGCCAAGATCATGGGCTCCAGCCTAGAGAACAGAGCAAGACCCTGTCTCAAAAAATTTTTTAAAAACGGATCGCACTGTGTAAGGGACTTCGTGGCCACTGTGTTGTAATGGTGCTTAAGTACTCTGCATGCTTCCATCCACTCCTTTAAGCACTGAGTGCTGTGCCTGTGCTGCTCTCGGTGCTGGAGACACGGCACTGGCAGGGCAGAGAAGATCCTCGTTGTCAAGTTGGGGAAACGGGCAGATCCTCCTTCAGGATGGATGCGATAGATTTCCTAAGAAGCACGTGTATGTGTTTCCCCTCCAGTGCGCCCTATCCACTCCTCAACATCCAGCCCTGCCATCTCCATCCACGAGGTGGGCCATACCGGAGTCACCAAAACCGAGAGGAGTGGCATTAACAGACTGAGGAGTGAGATGAAACAGGTAAGAATACCTCGGTGGCAGCGAGGGGAGAGTGGTGCTCTCCCTACCTGGCTCCCCGCTAGAAAGCGACAGAAACCTAGATCCCACTGTCTGTAGAGAATGTGAGGTCCCTTCTGTCTAGGATCTGAACACACCCTGTCCCCAGATAGATATCCCAGAGCTGCCCAGAAATGTGATGTTCACATGAACGTTCCAGAAAATACCCTTGTCCAGGGTTGCCTCTGTTCCTGAGAACCACTCTTTGGAGTGGGCCACAGCCATGCAAAAAGTCACCGAGTCATCTGTGTCCTTCAAATGAAATAGCAAGAGGACTCTGGAAATAGACCGGAATGCCCATGATACTTGGATTCTCCACCAGTCACAAGGGTCTGGTCTCTTTTTTAGTTCACCTTTAATTCCTGGTAAAAATCCATTTGAAGTGACCATACAGGTCAGCAGCTTAGCATCACTGTCAATGTGCCAAGTACTGCGCTAGCCCTTGCTCGGGATCCATGATGGGAACGAGTTTCCTTCTGACCATGAGAAATGCACTCAGATTGTCTGCTCTATTTTAAATACTGGTCGTGACCCACTAGATCGAGTCCCTGATGTACTCATGGGTCACCCCCTGCCATTTGACCAACACAGCCCTGGATTGAGAGAGGGTGACAGAAGCAGCACGCCTTCTTGACTCAAAGCTGGTTTTGATTTCCTGATGTATTTTTGCTTTCAGATGACTAGGCGATTTAGTGCTGATGAACAGGTGATGCCCCTTTGCCTTGTTTCATCCTTTACTTCCTGTTCTTTCTGGCTTGCATGTGGAAAGAGAGGCTGTGACTGCAGCATGTGAATGTGTGCAGGGCGGCTCTACCCAGCCAGCAGGCTCAGGCGCAGGCAGAGAGCGGGGCTTGAGGGCAGGAGAGAGGACTTTGCCCCATGCCTTTAAAAACAGTCTGTTTCTCAAACTCTTGGGCTTTGTAGGATACTTTGTAAAAGAGATCATCCAGGTTCTGCCTCAGTGGGAGTTTCTGTTCAAAAAGAGGGAACTAAATAGGAAACTAAATAGGGGGAAATGTGGTCATCAGTTATATCCGTAAAAAGAATACTGCTATTCCTGTCCTCAGATCACCCGGGGGGACTTAGCCTGGAAGGAAAAACATGTAAGGATGCCGCTCTTTTCTATCACCCTTGCGACATACTTTCTCCTCCCCCTCTGAGTCGCATTTCTAACATTTTGATGTCTCTATTACCGCAAGAGCCTGGAGGAGGCGTCTTAATGACATGTAAAGGCAGATTCCATATGTTGTCCAGAGGTAAAATATGTTTTCTCTCTCCTAATTTATGCTGTTTCCAAGTAAGGAACTGGCTTTCCAAACATCTTCCTTCGCCAGCCACTCGGTGGCACCGTCCCTCTGTCCCCACATCCCAATGGCCTGACCGTGGGCGAATCTGAGCAGTTCCTTCCACCTCCATTTCATGCTGTTCTGGCGTGTTACGGGGACAAAGTGATCACCTGTTCTTTGCTGGGTTTGGAGTCACCTCGCCAGTACAAACTTTGTATTTGACCACTTATGTCAAAGAGCATATTATTTCTTCAAACTGTAATAGGTATTATAGGATTTTCAATTTCTAGTCCCTGTTGCAAGAACACCGTGTAGATAGCACAGTGTGCCCTTGCAAATTAAGGGTACGTTCTAGATTTTTAGACGAGGAGATACTTACTTGGACAAACGGTCAGCCTGATCATTTTCATTCCTTTAACAAATATCTACTGAATGTCTGTTACATGCAGGATGTTACTGCCAACTGTGGATATTTGGTTCATCTGTAGATTTTCACAATTCTTACCCTAAAATATGAGCATTTCATGGCTGTGAGTTTGGAAAATAAATTGTGTCCTAACTTGATGAGGTACCCTCCACATACTTTGGGAACATTTACCTCATTTATGTTCAGTGGTAACAGTTCATGGGGTTTTGTTTTTTGTTTTGAGATGGAGTTTGCTCTGTCACCCAGGTTGGAGTGCAGTGGTGCGATCTCGGCTCACTGCAACCTCCGCCTCCCGAGTTCAAGCAATTCTCCAGCCTCAGCCTGCCGAGCAGCTGGGATTACAGGTGCCTGCCACCACTCACAGCTAAATTTTTGTATTTTTAGTAGAGACGGGGTTTCACCATGTTGACCAGGCTGGTCTTGAACTCTTGACCTCATGATTTGCCCACCTCGGCCTCACAAAGTGCTGGGATTACAGGCATGAACCACTGCTCCCGGCCACAGTTCATGTTTTTAAAAAGAGCGGTTAGCAAGTTCCGTGTGGAATCGAAGTCCAGAGGGGTGCTTGCAGGTGCGCCTGCACCTGAGCTGCCTGTGTGTGTTGCTGTGGGAACTTCTCTGCACCCGCGTTTGCTGCTGCTGCTTTCTGTGGGCATTTCGAATGCTGCTCCGTGACCCTCCTCTGCCGTGTCTCTTGGTGTCATTGCTCACGACTGAATGGATTCTTTTTGTTTTGTAGTTGTTTTCTGTGGGCCAGGCTGCGTCCAGCAGTGCGCATTCCTCCAAGTCTGCGGTAACCGTGCCTCGGGATCATTGTGTCCGTCCCCGCTCCTCCTCGCGTCCTTCCTCGTGTTGCCACCTCATGCCCAACTTGTGAGGATTCGAGCAGGGCTGTTTTCAGCGGATGCTCACAGGCTCCTCCAACGGGAATTCTAAGGAGGGTAGAAAGAAGGCCCCAAAGTGCTTGCACTGAGCTTTATTCTCCATCTTGAGCTCTTCGGCTCCGTGTGGGTGAGGAGCGTCCTTCTCACCAATTCCCAGGGCTTCCGGAAACTTCGGAGCATTAGTTCCGCGCCTCTTTATGGAGCCAGGATGGTTAGCCCTTGCCCGCACGTGCCGACTAGCAGCCTGCACCCACCGTGCCCCAGGTCCCGTGCGGGACTCCAATTGCACTTACCACACAGCGGAGGCTGTCTTGCTCCTGAAACTGAAGTGCCCAGATCAGCTGAGTCATTGAGGAGTGCAGCTGTAATTACTTTTATTTATGTCTTAATTGTTGCCTTAAGTGGCAGTAATGAGTCCAGTGGAATAACCCAGCCGAACTTCCTTTCAAAATAAGATCTGTTGAAGTCCAAGTGCGGCAAAAAGGCACACTCCACCGCCTGCCCTGCGCGCGCTTCCTGTTTCGATTCCACTTTTAACCCTTTACATTTGACTGTGCGCATTGAGAAATCAAAGTGCCACATGGTCCCAGGCAAAGACATGTGTGAGCGTGAAAGTTAGCCCCTCTCAACCTAGAGGTCACAAAGCTAGAAGCCCCACAGGGCAAGACCGAAGGCCGGGAGCTTTGCTGCAGGGAGAGGATGTGCCCCCACGCAGAGGCCTGCCCCTTCCCCGCCCCCCCCCTCCCGCCCCAGCTGCGGGGAGCCTCTGGGACAGCGCTCCCGTCTGGAGCCTGAATCCATCCCGCCAGTGTTGAAGAGGTGGGAAGGAGATGACGCCCTCTTCCCTCACTTCAGCCAAGTACCCCCAGTTCAGAGGCAGCCATTGCCGCAAATTAAGATAAAGCCCAGTGCCATGAACAGGGCAAGCAGGAAGTGAGATTGCAAAGGGTGGGCGGATGGACCCCGATCCTCACGGTCCCCACCACTAAACATGAGCTTTACTGTTTGTCCTCCCCGATGTTGTGTGTTGCATTCTCTGGTTTCTGCTCTATGGAAAGGTGACTGTTACTTCTCTGTGGCACTGCAGCAGTGACGTGGGCACTTTGGAGTTTGTCTCCCTGGGCCACGGGTATCTGCTCCTAGGGCCTGTTGTCACTCTCAGAGCTCTCCCACTCCGCACGCCAGTGACAGCTGCCCCTCGTGGGCACTTAGCGCACACCAGGCGTGCCTCAGGGGCTCCTGTGTCTCCACGTGGTGAAGGCTCCCAGGCGACTCTCTGAAGGATGCCCAACTGTGTCCCCACTGTGCAGATGGGACTGAGGCCCGGAATTAGTGTTCATGGCAGGGCCAGAGGGCCTCAGGTGTGTCCTTGGTGCCACTGGCATTAAGTGGGGATTAGTGTTCTGGCAGTCTGGAGCCTGTGCCTGCCCTGCTCGGCCTCCTCCCTATGGGTGCTAGCTTTGGGGGCGGGACCACCTCTCAGGGTCCAGGCAGAGTGCAGCATGGAGTAAAGTGACCAGCCTAAAGTGTGCGCATCCTCCCGCATCAGGAAACAGGCAAGGTGTACTGCAGGCACTGTGTTCCTCTCTGGCAAGTGGTGTTCTGGCATTTGGGTCTGGGTTGTGGGGCCGCCCTTTGTGATGGTGAGCTTTGCCTGGGGTACCCGCTGAGTGGCTTCTGAGGCCCCGAGCTGTCTGTCTTGCAGAGGTCCAGCACCCCATCCTCACCCACTGGGACATCATCCTCAGACTCGGGAGGACATCACATCGGCTGGGGGGAGCGGCAGGGCCAGTGGCTGCGCCGGAGAAGGCTGGATGGGGCCATCAACAGGGTCCCCGTGGGATTCTACCAGAAGGTGTGGAAGATCCTCCAGAAGGTAAGCCCAGTTGCACTCTTCTGCATTGGTGCCAGGAGACGTGTGCTCTCTCGGAAGCGAACCGTCCCCTTACTGCCCTGGTGAGGCATGGTGGCACCCCCAGGCAAGCAAACAGCCTAGAGTACAGCTTCTCTGCCTTCATTGTGTTGACACCTGGGGCTGAGGCACCCTCTGCTAGAGGCCTGTGCGTGGTGGGATGTGTACAGCATCCCTGGCCTCTACCCACCACATGCCATCTCTCCCACGCAGTGTGACAACCAAAAGTGTCTCCAGACATAATCACATGTCCCATGGGAGGGAGATCACCCTGGTTGAGAACCACAGCAAGTAAGACAAGGTGGCAGTCCACGTTGTAGTTGTGTGGGACCAACTTGCACATATCTTAGGAACATAGAAAAGCCAGACGGTAGAAGAACAGGGAAAGGCCGGTAGGCTTCAGCTGAAAACCCCGTAAGACAGACAACCCCAAACAGCTTCCACAGGCCTGGGACCCGGAATGACAGTTCAGTAGGGGCCTGGGTGGGCCAGCCCCCGGCCTCCTGCACATCCAGGCAGGAATGGTGTCCCTGCTGTTCAGCGATGGGACTGAGCCCCACCCTCAGATAGTACCTGCCATGTTGGGTCCCAGGGTGTACAGAGTTGGAAAGCTTCCAGTCTGGCCCCCGGGTCCTGTGGGCCCTGAAGGCACAATCTCCCTCACGCCCTGCCTCCCCCCTAGGGACGCCTCTCATCTCAGCCAGCTGCTGCGCTTCCCATGCGCCTGAGGCTGTTCTGTTGTCCTTGGGAACTGCAATGCATGCACCTGAGCCCAGCAGCACCTCTCTGAGCGCCTGTTGCCAAGGAGGGGGTGGCATTCTCTGCACCTCGCATTCTGCCTCCCTCCTGTCTTGGCCCCAGAGTTTGTGCAGCTCCCTGACCCCAGCAGGCCGTGTCTTTTCCCTTGCATGGAGGGACAGTCTGCCTTGCTTCAAAGCTGTGCAAACCAAGACATTCTTTTGCCTCAGAACTTTTTTTTTTTTTTTTTTTTTTAGCTCATTTCAGTGTGAGAGGAGAGAAAAAGAATCCCAGTGACAGCAGATAGCACCCCTTCCCAAAGCCATGGCAGTGCTGGCTGAAGGTTCTTTCTGTATCATTAGCCCCTGTGCTTCATGGGGCCCAAGGTCTTCATGGCCACCACAGAGGCGGGTGAGCAGGTTGAAGCAGGCCCTGCCCGAGCAGCTGGACTCCTGGGACCCAGGCAGGAGCCTGCAGGGGCTCATGGTGTTTGCTCCCTTTCCTGCCTCTCATGGGGGGGGCGGGGGTGGGAGCGGCCATCGCTGTTCTCACCTCAGCCCACCAGGTATGCAGCAGGCCAGGGTGCTGGTATTTAGAAGGTGGCCAGTTAGACTAGAACAAGCTGTTCCTAGAAAATCTCCCCACTCTTCCTGGGGCATCACATGCTTCCACTCAGACTTGCTGGCCCAATCCCAGTCCACTTTTATTATGAAAAAGCAGCCTTGAGTGTTGAGCTGGCACTCGGTATTTATATACATGGGTGAGCATGTGCATGTCTGTGCATGTGCTGGAGGCTTTTGTGATTGGGGCTTATTATAGAAATCTCAAAAATAGATGCCTGCAAAGGCGCAGAAGCATCCCTTCCCCAGAAGGAGCCATGAAAATCTCCCTTTATTATGGCACCAAAGGGGCCTCGCAGCCGCCAGGGCCCAGTTGGCAAGTACAGTGTGGAGCCTCCCGGGAGGACCCCACAGCCCCCTAGGGCATTGTTCTGGGGAGATCTGAAAGATGCCTGCTGGGTTCCCTAGAATTGTTCCATCGAAAACAGCCCGTGGGCAGTGAGAACAAGCTCTAAAAATAACTGACAGCCTGACGGGTCCCAGCCCTCATACGGGTTTCCAGGTCAGAGAGGGCTGTGTGTGCACGCACGCCTGTGTGTATGTATGTGTGTGTGTGTGTACATACATGCATGTGCTTATGATCTTGTTCTGGAATCTGAAATGTGCTGTGTTCTGCCTCCAGTGCCACGGTCTCTCCATCGATGGTTACGTCCTACCATCCTCGACGACCCGAGAGGTACGATGAGAAAAATGCAGGTGCGGGCCCCTCTCTGGGTTCACAACAAGGGCTTCATTGCATGGATCTGACCTCCTATGCTTCTTTCAAGCTCATTCTAATTGACAGGCCATTTGCAGGTCTGAGCTGTCTAGCCACTGCACCCTTACATGTTGCAAAATGTCTTTCCTGCATTTATGAGCCTCAGCCTTTTTCTTTTCTTCACCTGAGACTAAGCATTTCTGGGCTAGCAAGCTGTTTTCCTTTGCCAGACACCCCTTAGACCCCTGTTGAAAGAAAGGAGCTGATCTCCACGCCACACTGGCCTGCCCCCAAGCCAGCCTTCTCGGCCCTTTTCTCCAACTAAAAACAAACAGTCAGTGTCCCTAGGTGATTTGTCATCCTTTTTAGTGTGGATTTTGCTAGTCTTCCCCCACCCAAAGCACCATGCTTTATGCTGCAAGGAATAATGAAGAGGAAAGAGAAAGCAGAATTGGTCACTGCTCCTTGGAAGCTGTAGTCCATGGTGGGAAAGGTAGATAAATCAGGCTCAGACAGGCTGACTCTTGCTCTGAGGGCTGCCACCAGCAGAATCCAGACAGTGACCAGAAGGGGGGCAGCAGTGGTGCTGAGCCCCGAGCCCAGGCAGTGATACTGTCACCCTTGGTTACTTGGTGATAGGGCTGCCTCTGTCCTGTCTCTCACTGGTGGTCACCTGCCCGTCCCTTTGCTAGATGACCCCGCATGAGATCAAGTTTGCTGTCCATGTCGAGTCAGTGCTGAACCGCGTGCCCCAGCCCGAGTACCGGCAGCTGCTGGTGGAGGCCATCATGGTGCTGACGCTGCTCTCGGACACGGAGATGACCAGCATCGGGGGCATCATCCACGTGGACCAGATTGTGCAGATGGCCAGTCAGCTGTTCTTGCAGGACCAGGTGGGGGTGCCAGGGAGCCGGGTTGGCTGGCATTTATCTGTTGAGGCTGGAGCTTCTGTGTCCAATAGGAAAGAATATACTTGAACTAAGAAAATGTCATCACAGATGGGGAAAAAATGTCAACCACTTGGTTAGAGAATGGTACAGTGGCCACTTGGGAAATCTCAGGACCTTTGGAGATGGATAGGCCTGTCTCAGTGCAGGTTTTATCCACACACGACCCGGGCCGAACCCCTTATCCTGTATGCAAAGCCAAGTTCAGCAAAGTGGTCCTCTCATCATAGTCAGTGAAGAGCTGCAAACTAGGGTGCGTGATGACAGAGTGCAGGGCCCAGAGGAGAGGTGGGGCATCCCCCCGGCAGCGCTGGCTGTGCACCTTCAGCATTGGAGCTTCTCAGGAGAACAAGGGCCTCTAGCAACCCTCACCCTGCCCATGTTGACCCGCCGCCAACACGCAGAAGCGTGACGGGGAGTGAGGGCTCTGCTCATTGTCCCCTCTGCCCTTTCCTACTGCAGGTGTCGATCGGAGCCATGGACACCCTGGAGAAAGACCAAGCCACGGGAATCTGCCACTTCTTTTACGACAGTGCACCGAGTGGGGCTTATGGGACCATGACCTACCTAACAAAAGCAGTGGCTTCTCATCTGCAGGAATTGTTGCCCAATTCGGGCTGCCAGATGCAGTAGGGTCTCGCCTAGAAACATGACCACACTCTGAATCTGTCACATGGCACCTAGCCTTATTGGGAACCTTCTTATCCCCCCCCCAAGATCCCCTGGGCTATCAGGAAAGCATGTCCCATCAAAAACACTCACAGCGGGGCGCTGGCAGCACTCACCCTGTGACTGATGTCTGTTAAAGCCTCAGAGATAGATAGAGCTGAGGAATCCTCTGCTCCCCTAGCGAGCGCCTGGGATCATTTTCTAGGTTCATTTCGCTGGAACATTTGTCGCAGCATCTGGTCTTACGGACTCTGAGGAGGAATTGGAAATTGGTCTCTTTTGAGTGCAGAGGGAACTGAGAAGCCAGCTTAAATTGGCTCTTGCAGAGAGTTACAGAAATAGTTTCGATGAGCTAGTGCCACATCCTAAGATGCAAAGATTCTCTGGAGGCAGTAGCCAGACAAGCAGACCTTGACAAGGGCCACCTCTTCACAGGATGCAGTCAGTCTGTGCACCAAACTCTTCACCAAATAGAATGCGTGCGTTGCTGTGGAACTGGGGTTTTCTTGTGCCTTGCTTGCTTTCGTAGCCTTGTGTTGTACTGGCACGGCTGCCTTCATGTAGCATAATTCTCTATTCCTAAGACTTAGAAAATTCCTCTTCATTCACCTTGGCTCCTGGTCTTAAAGGGTTTTTATCCTGGCTTCCCATGAACTGGGGTTTTCTCTTGCCTTAGGAAAAATCCCGAATCTTCTGGAATCCAGGGGGAAAAGGCGAGACTCTTTGTGTAGCCAGGCAAGCAGTTGTTTCGGGGCTAGGCCTGGGGCCCCACTCGTGTCGGGTGAGTGCCCCGCAGAGGATACTTTCCTCCCGTGCTCTGGGCGAGGAGTCACGGGGTGAGCACGAGTCAGCAGTGCCGTGGTACTGAGCGGGCGTGTCACTGCAGAAACAATGCTTCCCTCTGAAAAGCAGAGCCAGGTGGGAACCTGCGCCCTCTTGGCAGAAGCAGTTTGGTCTTCACTCTCTCTGGTGGGTGTGGTCAGAGGCACCAATTGGAAGGGAGCAATGTTGAGTCAGGTGCTAGGGTCTGGCAAATCTTTTGCCAAGGTCCTGGCAATGGAGTTTCTCTCGGAGCACTGTCTTACCTTGGGGGAAGGAAACTAAAGCAATGGGAAAACAGTTTCTGTAAATAATAAACCTTGGAAGACAAATGCTTACCCAATGGCCAGAAGGCGCGCTCTGTCTGGTTGAGAGCAATTGGCTAGACGGTGGTGACGCTGCCTCTGAAATGGAAACAAGGCTGTGGGATCATTTCCCTGGACATCTGTGTGGAGGTGAAGCGATCACCATGCCCTAGCTGCTTTGAGTGGGCATCATGATGCCCAGTGCCCCTCAGAGCCAAGATTGCTGGTTATTCCTGAAGCAGAGGAGAGGCAGGTGGCATCAGATGCCTGACAGCTTCCCGGCAGAGTCCTCTTCGGGCTGAGCCAAACCCTTTGCAGTCTAGAAGAGTCTCAGCACTCCCATCTTGGTGTGCAGGCTCTGGCCACAGGTGACTTCCGTGCCGTGCCTTTGTTTCCATTTCTTCCAAACTGTGACGCTCCCTTGCAGAGGTGCAGAGTAGTTAGGTAAAGGAAAATCCCTTGGAGTCTCCTTATCTTCCTACAGTGGACTTATGCGTTTCTTGCATTTGAGGGGCAGATCCCAGAGACCAGGAGGGCAGCACATGGGCAGGCATGACACCAGGCCCTTGCCCCTTGAGGCCACCCCGTTCCCTCCCCATCCTGGCGGGCCACAGTGGTGGTGGAGCTGGAGGGACACGCAGGACAACAGCCACTGACCCGAACAGCTCTTCCCTCGCAAGCTGGTTTGCTCCCTTTGCTCCTGAGGCTCCATGGGGCGCAGCCTCCCAGGTCTGGGGGTCACATTTTCATAGCCTTCATACGTGTGTCTTTAAAATGTGCCAGACAGAAACAAGAGTCTTGGGGACGACATGTAATTCACCTGCTGGGTGGATCATTTCAGATGATGCGGGCAAGGTATAAGAAGGTTTAAGACATGAAAGGTTTTCTTGGAAGCAGCTCAGGAAGAGAGCCCTCCAGAATGAGCCAGGTGCTAATTTAGAACAGTCACTTGCCTGCCGATGACGATGACATGCTCAGCCACTGAGCCCCGGGCTGGGAGAGGAGCCGTAATAAGCGATTCCACTGAGCCTTCCAGCCACTCCTTTGAAACCTCTTTAAAATGAAATGCTGCAATAGGACCGCATTTCCACAGGCATCAAGCTGTCAGCTTCAAAGGAAAACAGGCTTCTGAGGCCTGGCTCCTGCCCGAGGAGAGGAGCAGATGTTTGAGGGCAGAGGGCCTGTCCTGACAGCACCTGCGGGGGCGGGGGGAGGGAAGTGCAGGGGTGGGAGGGGTCTCGGGACTTGATTTCTAGGCCAGGTGAGAGTGGCCTGGCAGCCACCTTGAGCCTGGGGGTTGGGGAGCTGCAGCCAGGAACTTCTGCCTTCCGCCTCGGAGCCAAGAAGTCAATTTGAACCTTTGCCGGGGCTCCAAATTAGCATGTTCTGTCTTGGAGGCCAAGGTGGTGGGGCCAAGAACAAGCATTGCTTTTAACAACTTCAGCTGAAAAACAGCTGGCACCCCACCTGCTGCTGTCCCTGGCTCTCACCAGAGGTGAATTCAGCATCCCTGCCACCCTGCCAGTGCCTCTGTGATCCTGTGCAAGTGAGCCGACCACTGTGTACCTCAGTTTACCCATCCACAAAAAAGTGCAAAAGGCCGACGGAGCAGCCCAGGACTAAATGTGAAGGCGTGACCTGAACTCCCCCTCATCTCTGGCTGAAGGCTTTCTGCTTAGAGGAAACCAGATATGCCCTATGGCAACCCTGCCTGGAGTTGTGGGGGGCTGAGGGGAGGAGGAGAGGGAGACCCGGCCTTTCAGGCCCTGGGGCTTGAGGGGTGGGGCTCCATTAGGAGGTGAGTTGGTGGGTGGTGAAGGTGAGGAGAGACCATCAGGGCTCAGCTGCCTGGACAGAGGATGAAAATCCTCCCTGTGTGAAAAGAAAAGGAAAAGACCCCAGAGCAGGAGGCAGGAAACGCAGTTTGGCAGGTGGTTGATGCCGTTTGTTTCTGGACAAGAAGACAGGCAGCTTGGCCACCCTTGATGGAAATTGCAGCAGAACCATCCATTCTATTGATTCCCACATCAGGCTGGCAAATCGCTTTTGTCTTTCCTGCTTTCTTCTTGTCAAAGGGTTCAAAGGGTACAAAAGCCCCCCACACCCTCCACTGCCCTTTGCGCCATAATCTTTCAAGGTTACTTATGCTTTTGAAGTCCCTGCCATCTGCTCCGCCGGCCTGTACTTTGCAGGATGTGAGAACACCGCATTCCCAGAATGCCTTCTGTTGTCCCCGACGTGGCCGCTGATGGCTCTGACTGTGAGGGGAAAAGAAAGCTGTGCTGTGGCCCTCTTAGCCCAGTCCCTGCTTTCTCCCTCAAAAAGCCACTTAGGAAAGCCACAGCCTTGACTTACCAAGAGAATTCTCCGAGAAATGAGAAGACCAGAAACTGCAAGAATGTCTGCACTGCAGTTGAATGCTAGGTGTGTCTGGTGATGCCTGGGAGAGGGAAAAACTCCATCAGACAACTACCATGGTTTTCTTTAGAGGAACATATGTGCACTTTTGGCAAAAAATGCCTTCTTAGGAGGACTGGAATCGTTGGAAGCAGTGAACTCTGAAGTCACGTAATTCGTCCCTCTGTCTTCTTGCAGTCTTCAAACTTCTGAAAAATGCATGAATCCAACATGAATCCCAGCATTTCTGCCATGTCCACTGAGAGCCAGGCAGAAATACAGCCTGGTCCGGGGGGTGGGGGGTGGAAAAACATCTCTTCTGTGTTTGAAGGCCCCTGAGGAAGCCCTGGGGGCTCCTGTGGTGTGCCTGGCACTGGCCTAGCAGGGTGTTGGCATCCTGAGCCAGAACCCTGTGCAGCATCGGCCCAACCCTTGCAGGTGGCCACCACCCCTTCCCCCTACAGCTGGTGCCGCTGAGGTGCCAGGCTCTGCCAAGGGCAAGCTGCATCTGAATTGGGCAAGAGGGGATGGTTGCACCTTCCACATCTCCTTTTTGTGAAAGACCTTCCCAGATACAGACCCATGATGGACTTGCCGAAGAGAAATCCCAGTAACTGGCTCTAATCTCTGTGCCATCAGCTACCATTGTATCCAAGTTCATTTGCAAATAACAGAAAAGTAGGTTTACTAAAGAATGTTGGGGGCCGGGCGCGGTGGCTCAAGCCTGTAATCCCAGCACTTTGGGAGGCTGAGGCGGGTGGATCACGAGGTCAAGAGATCGAGACCATCCTGGTCAACATGGTGAAACCCTGTCTCTACTAAAAATACAAAAAATTAGCTGGGCATGGTGGCACGTGCCTGTAATCCCAGCTACTCGGGAGGCTGAGGCAGGAGAATTGCCTGAACCCAGGAGGCGGAGGTTGTGGTGAGCCGAGATCGCGCCATTGCACTCCAGCCTGAGTAACAAGAGCGAAACTCCATCTCAAAAAAATATGTATATATTGGGCCAGGCACTGTGGCTCACGCCTATTTTTAATCCTAGCACTTTGGGAGGCTGAGGTGGGTGGATCACCTGAGGTCAGGAGTTCAAGACCAGGCTGACCAACACAGAGAAACCCTGTCTCTACTGAAAATACAACAATTACCTGGGTGTGGTGGTGCATGCCTGTAATCCCAGCGGCTCGGGAGGCTGAGGCAGGAGAATCGCTTGAACCCAAGAAGCGGAGGTTGCGGTGAGCCGAGATCCGCCATTGCACTCCAGTCTGGGCAACAAGAGCAAAACTCCATCTCAGAAAAAAAAAAAAAAAAAAAAAAAAAAATATTGGATAGGTCACATGGTCACCAGCCTAAGCAGTTCCCCAGCCACGACCAAGATCAAGATCCCATGTCACTCCCCAGTACTCCCGGGTTCATACCCTGGGGCTTGCACCACAGACACCCGCAAGGCTGAGCACTGTCACTGGGGCCACTGCCTCTGCTCTTTTGGAAACTAAATGTAGAGGCTGCTTCTTGTCACCAAAAGAGATTTTAAACAGCCACTAGCTGCCACTTCAAGGTCTCAGGCAAGCATGCTGCCTTGACTGAGGGGAGAGGTGAGAAAAACCAGCATCCATCAGGGTGAGGTGCTTGTGCCTGTAATCCCAGCCCTTTGGGAGGCTGAGGTGGGTGGATCATGAGGTCAGGCGTTCAGGACCAGACTGGCCAACATGGTGAAACCCCGTCTCTACTAAAAAGCACAAAAAATTAGCCGGGCGTGTTGGCAGGCACCTGTAATCCTAGCTACGTGGGAGGCTAAGGCAGAGAATTGATTGAACCTGGGAGGCAGAGGCTGCAGTGAGCCAAGATCATGCCATTGCACTCCAGCATAGGCAACAGAGTGAGACTCCATCTCAAAAAAAAAAAGAAAAGGAAAAACCAGCGTCCAGCCAGGCACAGTGGCTCATGCCTGTAATCCTGGTGCTTTGGGAGGCCTAGGCGGAGGATCCCTTGAACCCAGGAGCTCAAGACCAGCCTTGGCAACAATGTGAGAACCTCCCTACAAGAAATAAAATCAGCCGGGCACAGTGGTGTGTACCTGTGGTCCTGGCTACGCAGGAGGCTGAGATGGGAGGGTTACTTGAACCTGGGAAGTTGAGGTTGCAGTGAGCTGTGATTGCACCACTGTACTCCAGCCTGGGTGACAG